TCAATGTGCTCTACAAAAAAGCCTCAAGGACCATTAAGGTCCGCCTCGAAAAAATTTCATTTTTGACATCTCCTTCTAGACCGTAGCTCCAATTGCCAGATATACCTGGACAGTTTGATATACATATGCCACTAGGGGGTTCTACAAGCACAAGAAAGGTTCTTGGCATTCATTCATATTCATTCTCCAATTCTCCATATTAATTCTACAATCATCACAAATCTCACAAACTAGGCCCTTGTAAGTAACTAAAACATGCACTTCATTAAAATTGAACACCAGGTGGCACTATAAATGCAAACACACTGCTGGCGATTTAACGGAAATCCGGCCTCAAACTACAAAAATGTTCTGTATTTGTATAGCGCCTTTCTAGTCTTTTCGACCACTAAAAGTGCTTTTACACTACATTCGTACCCTGGTGGAACAGCCACCAGAGGCAAATCAGGGTTCAGTATCTTTCCCAAGGACACTTCGACACGCAGCCTAAAGGAGCCAGTAATTGAACCATCGACCTTCCAATTAACAGGAAACCCGCTCTACCTCCTGAGCCACAGCCGCCCCTAAAAACAAATCAAGGTAGAGGAAGAGGCCACACATATTGAAAGGTCAATTTAATGAAACTTTACAACCTTTCTCTTTCAATCTACCTAGTAAAGTACAGTGAAATTACTGTTGATGAGATTAAGCCCTGACCATACAATACTTATACTGAAGGTGTAAAAAATGTTAACACACTATTGATCCATTACCATTTGAATTATTTACAGTTTTAAGAGAGAACCGCAAATGAGAGATATGTATGTGAGTGCTAAGCTTTACATTTACATTATTAGAGTGATTTCTAGTTTGAGCAGTGTTCTAGGATCCAGGTGCGAGAGCCCTCCCCCAGTGTTTGGTCCCTAAGGGAGAGATAATTGACAAGTCCTTCTGTTAAATGGCTACAAACAGAGGCCAAAGAAGAGAAAAACCTATCCCGCTACAAATGCATAACTGAACGTGGCTTTATACAAATTAAGCTATTGATCAGAAAATGTTGGTCCAATCGTTACAAAACGTGCAGGATTTGTTTCATAACAATATCTAACCCCATTTCTGAAGTTATTTTGAAGTTGCTAATGCGAAAAAAGGTTTGAACCTGCGACTCGCCACTTGCGGCTATATTTTTTGGATGATCCATCCAATGATCCATACTGTAGCAGCATTGGTAGCAGTCACAGCTGACAGCTCTCACATGCATTTACTTTAGTAAATGCCCATTCTAGTTAATCTTTTTTACAGTCACATTTAACTAGTCCCACAGTCTTTGACGTAGAAACTCCGTTCAAACACCAAGTTCTTTGGCTCAATGAGGAGAGGGGTGCTATTACTTTTCTCATTATTAATACCTTAAATACCAAAATATTTAAGGTTTCCAAGGGAAATCTTCCCATTCTAAGTGAATGGATTGGTGGTTAAAATCCTCCACATACCTCCTCCTCACACTTTGAAAGTTCACCAGTTCAGCATACTTTCAGCTACAGACTTGATTTAAACTTTAAATTGGTCACAAGAAGTTAATCTATTATGATGCATTCAGCTATTTAATATATTTTATGGTTTATTCACTATCGCTGTCGTAGTTTTATGCTTTTTTCAGCTCTTTTCTGAGTTTATAATGAGTCTGTATTGCGTGAGCCAGAGTGTGTGACATCATCATTAGAGTGGAGAAGCTTTGGAAACTCATCTTTAAAAAATGTCTTAAACTCGCTGGCATGACCAAAATTTTAACTCTTCATGCATAAAAAAGAAATGTAGTAAATCTTGTTCTGGTTGCTCACATGGGCAATTTAAATTGCTCGGACTTACAGATTTGGCTCGGTGCCATTCCAAAGGACAAGAGTGACAGGCAACTCCTCCATTATCAGCCATTATAAATTTGTGTGGAAATTTCTGGACCAGAGCAGAATAGTTTTTTTTAACTCACTGAAGTATTCACTTTTTTTACTTTATCCTCACAAAAAATATGAAATCTTTCACAAATGCATTAATTTCGCTGATACAACCTATAGTATTTATGGACATTTATTTGACAGAAAGTTTCAGAGGGATTGTCCTATATGTCTCTATGGTACAGCTGGTTACCTTGGTGATGTAAATTAGCCAATGAAAGATCAAAGGACTGTGTCCTCTGTTCTGATTGGTGGACTGAAGTTAAACTATTTTCTGAATACCTGTCTGTGTCCTCTTCACTGAACACATACAGACACACATTCATACATTGATAGACACAATACACACACACACACACACACACAAAGCCCCCTCCAGCCAGTTTTAACTGCCGTTTTTGGTGAACGTTCTTTCTCAAACAGAAAATGGGGGTGTGGTTAATAGTCGGACGTAATACATTACCATGACAACCAAAAACTGACCGGCTGGAGTGTTCACTAACGATATGCTGTGTTAACATCACAACACTGTACAGTTTAGTACACTTTAATGTCTGGCAGGAGCAGCTATTACTTACCCGTGACAGAAACTAATGTGCGCGTATCAGCTGTTATCAATCATACAGTCGATGGTCCTGTTACGCACTGCACACGATAACTCCCACTACGTTTTATGGGGGGTCTATTACTCTGTTGAACTGTATGTAAAGACTTGTGATACCATTGCTTCCGCCGATGCATTGGTAAAACGGCCGTCAGTAAAATACATGTTGCAGACTGTATATAAGACGGTGGCAGGTGAAAGTGCAACGCGTTTTCTGTCATCTGTCCTCCAATACTGTACGCAGAAATTCCATAATGAAAATGAACGCACTAAACCAAGAGGAGTAAACTAAAAAAGACACTCTGTTAGCTAACTTTCTGCTATAACTATCCTAGCTAATTACACCTGGCTAACTACAACTAACTTAACTTAGCCAACTAACTAAGTTCTAAGTAAATGACATGATAAATTGGTTAGCTAGCTCACAACGATGTTTATCGGTTTGACGCTCTGACTTAACAAGGCGTGACGTTGTCACAGTTTTTTAACGAGACATGACAGTGCGCCTGTGCAAGCTTGGAGAATGACGTATGACTTAGGGAATTACTATAGTCATACGTCACCACCCCGTTTTAACAATTAAGCAATTTTTGCAACTTTGAGCACAAAATTAAGCTATTTGACTTATGATGGTCATATCATTTTATTTTACAATAGAAATGTACAGTTTATAGAAAATTTGTGTTGAACTGATTAGAAAATAATAACTTAATAAGTAATAATAACTAACTAATAAAGTGTTGGGTCAACTGTGAGGGCCCCTGTGGAAAATTCCAAACTGAGACACATAAAAGGTGAATAACACTTGTTTAGTCTATTAAGCTTTTAAGCAATGTTTAGACCTTTACATTACATTTACTCATTTGGCAGACGCTTTTATCCAAAGCGACTTACATTTGAGGAACAACATACAAGCATCAACAGAGCATCAAATACAGATCTACAACTGACAATACATACTAGTAAGAGCAGCAATAAATACTATTAAGAGCTCATAGTACATATCACATCAATGGTGTAAATACCTAGAGAAGGAATTAAGAGTTAACAAAAAGTGCAATCAAAACAAAATAGTGTAATCAATAGAAGATAATTGTAGGGGATAGAAGAGGAAGAGCACAGGAAGTGCATTTTAGAGGTTATAAGAGGAAGTGTTCTCGGAAGAGATGAGTTTTCAAGAGCTTCTTGAAGTTAGAGAGGGACGCCCCTGCTCTGATGGCGTGTGGTAGCTCGTTCCACCATCGTGGTGTCACAGATGAGAAAAGCCGGTACTGGGATTGCTTTGTGTGAAGGGATGGCAGAGCCAGGCGGCATTTATTGGAGGAGCGTAGCGGCCGAGAAGGAACGTAAGTTTGTATTATGGAGTAACTACTGGGTGCAGACCCAGTAGTCACTCTGTATGCATGCATTAGTGACTTGAATTTGATTCTAGAGACCACGGGAGCCAATGGAGGTCACTGAGTAATGGAGTGACATGAGTCCTTTTGGGCTGATCAAAAACCAGACGTGCTGCTGCGTTCTGAACCATTTGTAAGGGTTTCACCGCACAAGCTGGAAGACCTGCTAGGAGGGCATTGAAATAGTTGAGGCGAGAGATAACCATGGCCTGTACCAGAAGCTGGGTGGCGTACTGAGTGAGGTAGGGCCTGAATTTTCTGATGTTGTATAGAGCAAAGCGGCATGACCGAGAGACCGCAGCAACATGGTCTGAAAAGGACAGCTGGTTATCAATCATGACACCCAAGTTTCTCGCCACCTTGGTTGGAGTGATGGTTGCGGAGTCAATTTGTAGTGTGATGTTATGGTGGATAGATTGCTTGGCTGGAATGACCAAGAGTTCAGTCTTAGAGAGGTTTAGTTGAAGGTGGCAAGCCTTCATCCATGCAGATATGTCTGAGAGACAGTCCGTGATCCGCGCCGAGACGGTGGGATCGCCTGGCAGGAAGGATTGGTAGAGTTGCGTATCATCTGCGTAGCAGTGGTAAGAGAAGCCATGCGAGCGAATGATCGGCCCCAGTGAGGTGGTGTAAATTGAGAAGAGAAGGGGCCCTAGCACTGACCCTTTGGGCACCCCTGTGGAGAGGCAGTGGGAGGAGGATAATTGTCCTTGCCACAAAACATTGTAGGAACGCCCAGAGAGGTAGGATTCGAACCACAGGAGTGCTTTACTCAAGATACCTTTACTTACAAGCAAGTGTTATATTTTAAAATGTGGACACTTTGTCATGTTTCTTTGTCAAAATTTTAAATCATTGATAGAGCACAGTTTATTCCAACAGAAATATTAAGCAAAAACCAGCCACACTGAAATGTCTTTACTATACTATAAATTACTATACTATAATCATTTTACTATTTATTATGAACAAGGCATTTTGCATATGGCTTCTTCAGGTTCACACAGTGAAATTTGAAAAAGTAATCATGTCTAGTTGACTCTTCCTTCCTCTCCTACCCTGTTCCAGGCATTTGGCCAGGCCTACTCCACACAGCGTAAGGTGGCAGAAGATGGGGAGACCAATGAGGAGACACTGCTGCAGGAGTCTGCCACTAAGGAGGCCTACTACATGGGCCGCCTCCTGGAGCTTCAGTCGGAGCTGAAGCAAAGCCGGTCAACTGCCTCTAACGCTCAGGCTGACAATGAACACCTGGGCGCACTGCTGCAGGAGCTGAGGGAGGTACAGTACAGTGGATAGGGTTGGGGATAATACACTGCTCAAAAAAATAAAGGGAACACTTAAACAACACATTGTAACTCCAAGTCAATCACACTCCTGTGAAATCAAAATGTCCACTTAGGAAGCAACACTGATTGACAGTCAATTTCACATGCAAATAGCATGGAGGCGCTACCAGGAGACAGGCCAGTACATCAGGAGACGTGGAGGAGGCCGTAGGAGGGCAACAACCCGAGCAGCAGGACCGCTACCTCCGCCTTTGTGCAAGTAGGAGCAGGAGGAGCACTGCCAGAGCCCTGCAAAATGACCTCCAGCAGGCCACAAATGTGCATGTGTCTGCTCAAACGGTCAGAAACAGACTCCATGAGGGTGGTATGAGGGCCCGACGTCCACAGTTGGGGGTTGTGCTTACAGCCCAACACCGTGGAGGATGTTTGGCATTTGCAAGATTGTCAAATTCGCCACTGGCGCCCTGTGCTTTCACAGATGAAAGCAGGTTCACTAGAGCACATGTGACAGACGTGACAGAGTCTGAAGACGCCGTGGAGAATGTTCTGCTGCCTGCAACATCCTCCAGCATGACCGGTTCGGCGGTGGGTCAGTAATGGTGTGGGGTGGCATTTCTTCGGGGGGCCGCACAGCCCTCCATGTGCTCACCAGAGGTAGCCTGACTGCCATTAGGTACCGAGATGAGATCCTCAGACCCCTTGTGAGACCATATGCTGGTGCGTTTGGCCCTGGGTTCCTCCTAATGCAAGACAATACTAGACCTCATGTGGCTGGAGTGTGTCAGCAGTTCCTGCAAGAGGAAGGCATTGATGCTATGGACCGGCCCGCCCGTTCCCCAGACCTGAATCCAATTGAGCACATCTGGGACATCATGTCTCGCTGCATCCAGGATGCTTTAGTCCAGGTCTGGGAGGAGATCCCTCAGGAGACCATCCGCCACCTCATCAGGAGCATGCCCAGGCATTGTAGGGAGGTCATACAGGCACGTGGAGGCCACACACACTACTTAGCCTCATTTTGACTTATTTTAAGGACATTACATCAAAGTTGGATCGGCCTGTAGTGTGGTTTTCCACTTTGATTTTGAGTGTGACTCCAAATCCAGACCTCCATGGGTTGATAAATTTGATTTCCATTAATAATTTTTGTGTGATTTTGTTGTCAGCACATTCAACTATGTAAAGAAAGGAGTATTTAATGAGATTATTTCATTCATTCAGATCTAGGATATGTTATTTTATTGTTCCCTTTATTTTTTTGAGCAGTGTCATACAGCTGAGTGCTCTTTTAAACACAGTATCTTTATATACAATAGGTTTGACTTTTTAAGAGAACAAACATTTTGTGAAATATGGTTAATAACAAGAATATATAACTTGCCATAACAAAAGGGTTTTCATGGGAAAAAGACAGGAACTGGAAGGTTTCTTATGAAAGTGCATTGTAAAGAGTATTTCCATCTTCACTTACTTTCAACAATTATGCTATATAAAACCAGTCACTTTCATAAAGATTCCAGTCATTTTCTTGAGTTATCTGTGTCATAAACAGCATGCAACTCCAACTGTGTTTCACCAAACTGTCTCAGCAGAGTAATGAGATGTTGGAGCTGCAGCGCAGCCGGATGCGAGAGGAGATCAGGGAGTACAAGTTTCGAGAGTCACGGCTGCTCCAGGATTACACCGAGCTGGAGGAAGAAAACATCTCTCTGCAGAAACTTGTGTCAACACTCAAACAAAATCAGGTACAGATGATTCACATTCACACATGGATATATGGACCTTCAACAGAGAATTAATCAGAATTTTACATTGGTCCACTTTATTTGCTTTGTTCCCAAACACATTGTTCTACATATGTTAGTTATATATATATATATATATATATATATATATATATATATATATATATATATATATATATATATTTATATAGTCCATTTCTGACACACATTGATAGAACCCAAAAGGTTTAAATTTATTTATAAATATATATTTTTTTGTTTCATGATGGTGGCCTGTGGGCTAGAACACTGTCATGACATTACATTTTGTCATTAAAAATAAAAATTAGCATTAAAAACACAACCGGAGCTAAAAAAGGAAACTTTGGCATTGAAACATCTGTGTATAGGCTAAGCCCAAGCTTTAAGCCCCTGAGGTGCAGTCGCGGGGTTGAATAATTGACTTATTTAATTAATGAAAGTCCAAGTCATATTTGCAGTTAAAACCATTGGTTTCATTTTATTTCCATCCATCTCCATTGTTCTCCAGACAAACTTCATTGCACATCTGTGACTTTGTACTGGCCTGGTATAGTGTGTTCGCATGTCCCAAAGGTATAGTCCATGTGTGTGTGGTCAAAAACTGTCTGTGCTTCCGGGTAGCATCTGAGGCATGAAAGATTGGTTCCTATTTATACCAAGAGCGCTAATTGGCTCTTACACACCAGCCCCTACTTGTAAATGGCAGATAGACATTACAATTCAAACAAATGAACAATAGAAGAGCCATGTGCAAAAAAAACAAGACAAAAACATCAATACCCATACATATGTACATCACCATAAATCCGACTACACATCTTTGATTAAGCACAGTTTAGTTATATATATATAGGTCTCTCAATAATATTAGTTTTTGTTTTTAGCTTGACAGAGCGTACTAGGCCCCTTTTGTCAGGATAAACTTCCAGCACTTTGTCAAGCGGCCAAGATCCATGTGGAGCTGTTGAATCCATGATGACTACCACATCTTCAGGAACTAGACTCCTCTTCCTTTGGCTCCACTTCTGTCTTTCTTGCAACAATGGCAGATACTGTTGGATCCATCTTCTCCGCAAGATATTGAACCTGTTTCCATCGATGTTTCAAATACATGTCTTAGGGTTCAAAAAGTCCAGGTGGCAAAGATGGTTTTCCCTTTAGTAGCAGGAGATGATTTGGTGTGAGAGGTTCCAGATCGTTTGGATCGTCAGATAGCTATGTAATAGGACGATCGTTGAGAATAGCTTCCACTTCACACATAATAGTGTGGAGTCCATCATCATACGAGTTCAGCTGGTGTATAACTGATCTGAGAATGCGGTGTACCATTCGTATCATGCACTCCCAAACACCACCGTGATGAGATCCCGCCGGTGGATTGTAACTCCATTCAACCCCAGCTGAGATGAGAGCTCCTTGGATTTGCTCATGATTTAATGTAGCCAGAGCCTCTCTTAACTCTCTCTCCACTCTAACAAAGGTGGTCCCATTGTCTGATGTAATATGGGAAACTTGACCCCTCCTGATAATGCGAGTTCAGCTGGTGTATAACTGATCTGAGAATGCGGTGTACCATTCGTATCATGCACTCCCAAACACCACCGTGATGAGATCCCGCCGGTGGATTGTAACTCCATTCAACCCCAGCTGAGATGAGAGCTCCTTGGATTTGCTCATGATTTAATGTAGCCAGAGCCTCTCTTAACTCTCTCTCCACTCTAACAAAGGTGGTCCCATTGTCTGATGTAATATGGGAAACTTGACCCCTCCTGATAAACCGTCGGCATCAGTCTCAAGTGAACGGGACACCTCCAAATTTACTGCTCTACAAGCCATGCAGGTAGATATTACTCCATATCGTTTACAAGTTGTTCTTCCTTTCTTTATTTCCACAGGTCAAAAAAAGTCTAACGTTGGTAAATGGAGTTAAATCTGGGACTATTCTCTCTTTTGGAAGCTCTGCCATCTTTTGCTCCATAACTCTCCCATTGTAACATCTGCAAAAACAGCTTTATACATCTAACCAATCTGAATGAAATCAGCAACTTAATATCTTCCAACCACCACTTCCACTGAATCAAAATATCTGATGGTATGACATCGTCCCATCTGCACTTTCTCCTGCAGAGCTCCTGTTGCATCATCTTTGCAGACAAAGTGACTGGTGCCAAAATACCCAAAGGATCATACTTTCATCATACAGCTTGTGATAGACAACATGCCACGTCTGGTTAGTGGTTGCTGTTTCACTTTGATTTTGAACTTAAAGGAGTCTGACTCGACACACCAAAGTAGACCTAAAGCTCTTTCCATTGGGAGATTATCTCTATCAAGATTCAGCTCCTTTAACTCCTTAGCCCACTTGTCTTCTGCAATTGTGTGCAAAACTGCCTGGCTATTGCTGATCCATTTTTCCAGTACGAATCCACCTCTTTCACAGAGAATATTGAGCTCTTTAACCACCTGGATGGCCTCCATTTCCGAGCTCATGCTCATCAAACAGTCGTCTACATAGAAGTTTTGGTCAACAGCTTGAACAGTCTTAGCGGAAAAGTCAGATTGTTGTCAGTAGCAGTTCTCCTTAGTGCATAGCAATCACAACTAGGTGGTGAAACTGCTCCAAACAAATGTGAAGTCATCCTATAGTCCTGAAGTTCCTTGCTCAAGTCCCCTTCTGGCCACCAGAGGAAACGAAGAAGATTTCTGTCTTGTCCTACCACCTTCACTTGATGAAACATAGCCCGTATGTCCCCCATAACTGCTACAGGCTCCTGCCTGAATCGAGTGAGAACTCCTAAGAGTGAGCTGGTGAGGTTTGGTCCTTGCAAAAACTGGCTGTTTAATGATATTCCTTTATAGGTTGCTCCACAATCAAACACCACTCGTAGAGAGCCTTTTCTGGGATGGTAGACACTGTGGTGTGGGATGTAACACACCTTACCACTTCCACACTGCAGCTGCTCCTGAGGTACTTGCTCAGCATAACCTTTGTCATTAACCTTGTTAAGATAGCTGGAATATTCCTTGTGCAAAATTGGATTATTCACAAACTTCCTTCTTAATCCAAGTATTCTTTGTTTAGCCACTGCAAAGTTATTTGGTAGAAAAATCTCTGGTTTCTTAAGAGGCAACTTAGAATAGACAATAGAATAGAAAGCTTTGTCATTGTCACATGTACAACAAAAATGTCAAAGTGCTGACCAGCCAGTGCATCATTCCTAAAATGTACTTGAGCCAGTACCTCTCCTCCTGTAATGTTGCAGAAGATTCCATGATTTCCATAAATCTGCAGTCTTCAATAGACATCTCTTTGTCCTCTGTGTTCTTTTCATTTAAGTCATGTTTATACTGATTGTTCAGCATAAGCTCCAAGTTTGATACAGAAATCCTATTTACCACAACAGAAGGAAGCGCCACTTCAACAGCGTTGCCAGTTCCATTTAAAGGACCATTGATGACCCACCCCAACACTGTTCTTATAGCGTATGGGCCACCTCCACAGCTGTTGACAATTTCCCATGGTTCCAATAACTTGGCAGCGTTGGTTCCTATCAACATGTCACCATTGCCACTTAAGCTGGGAATGTGAATTTTTGACAGAAGTGGCCACTTTTTAACATCTGTGGCTGGAGCAATGTTGTCTGTAGTGACTGGCATCTTCTTCTGTGTGAGGACTTCTGGGAGAAGATAAAAGTTGATTTCCTCCAAACCAGACACCTCCAGTCCACATAAGGAGTATGCTGGAACAACCTTTTCGTGTCCCATTGTTTTCAAGAGCAAAACCTTTTTTTCTGTAACGCTTAACCTTTCAATCCTCTTGCCTCTGTCGCCTAGTGCTTGCTCTTGGTGGGAACTGTTGGGCTTCTGTAAATAGCATCATAGAGTACGGTCTAGACCTGCTCTTTTATGAAAAGCGCTGTGAGATAACTGTTGTTGTGATTTGGCACTATATAAATAAAATTGAATTGAATTGAATTGAAATCAGCTTTTCTGAACAGAATGTAGCTGAACTACCGGTATCCAAAAATGCATACGTCTGTACGATGATGCTTCCTTTCGTGGACATGACCTGTACCTCTGTCCTTTCTGGCCCCTGGATGTCCACATGTCTATGTCGATGGTATAACTCCAGGTGACTCATGAGTTTGTTCTAACTCCACATTAGTTTTCCTGATATGGAGCACAGTGGGATGCTGTTAATCACAAACTTCACAAGTCAAGCGATTATCACACTCCCTACTTATGTGTCACATACACAAGCATCCAAAACAAATGCCTTTCTCCTTTAGAAAAATTATCTTGTCTCTGTGCTTCTTACCTTTAAATTGTTGGCATTTCTCTAAAGGATGAGCACGTGCACAGCAATGACAAGACGAGCTCTTTTTCTTGGGGCAATTTGCTGTGGTTTTGTTTTCATCATAATCCACTTCAGTCACTGTAGTGGCAAAACTGCTTCCTTTCATTCTGCTCTTTGACTGTAGCTTAAACTTGTTTCAAGTGTTTATGCCAGCAGCCCTTTGTGGTAGGCTTGCACCTTCAGTGTCTCCAAAAATTGGGTGTGACAGAATTCTTACATGTCTCTCAAGAAATACGACCATGTCTGAGAAATAAGCTCTGTCATTAGAGGCTTCCCAAATGTCATGAGCTTTGGCTCTCCACCGTTCTCTTAGCTTGAAAGGCAACTTGGAAATAACAACTTTCATATTAGTTGGTATATGTAACTTATACACTGAACCTTTAACATTGCACTGCCCACATTTGAAGTCAATCGGGTTAAAGCTCTAGGAGGAGTACAGAGTACAGAGTGTGTAAATAGTGACAAATTTCATATTCAATTAAAAATGTTCGACTTCCTGTTGGGTTTAGTGTATGGCTCCAAAAGGGTTATTTTTTAGTCTTCAGATAATACATCAGCCCTCCACATTTCGTACAGGAGGGCTGCTTCATTGAAATTTTGTAGGAGGCGCTACTGGGTAATTTTATGACAACCATGCTGTGCAACGATATTAGACAACAAAGAACACCCCTTCTGACATGCGTGCCAAGTTTTGTGAAGTTTTAAGCATCCCCAGCCATGTGAAAGCTAAAAAGCCTTTAGGGGGCACTATAGAGCCCACGTGCGACCCCCAATTCCAAAAATGATATCAAATCGAAACATTACCAGTTCGAGTCTGACTGCAAATTTTATTGTTCTTTGGGCATCCTAAAGACCTCAAACACCTGTAAAAAATATTGAAGATGATAAAGGAAGTGCAAAATGGCTGACCTCCTGTTGAGCAAAATCTCATAAAAAAGCAGAAATCTGGTCTTTGTAATAAGAGAAGAGCAATAATCCTACCAAATCTCATGAAGTTCAAAGAAACTTTTTCCAAAACATATTGTTTGTTGAGGGGCGCTATTGAACTGGCCTTGCCTGCCCACAATCATTGCAGAACATTGGATTTCCCACCAGACTGGAGGTGTGTGCAAATTTTCGTGTGGATTCAAGTCTCCTAAGACAATGAAATACTAGTTTATTAGTTTTTTTATTTACTTCAAAATTCAAAGCCGTGCCATGGCCATGGCATTTTAGCAATCAAAAAACGCTTTGCAATTTAACATCACGAGGCTCTTAAGATTGCACTGCCCGCATTTGAAGTCGATTAGGTTAAAGCTCTAGGAGGAGTTAAAGTACGGAGAGTGTAAACGGGGTAAAATTTTGCAAATAATTCAAAATGGCCGACTTGCTGTCGGCTTTAGGATATGGCTCCAAGAGACTTATTTCTAAGTCTAGAGATGATACATCGGTTTCTCACATTTCGTACAGCTAGGTAAAATGTACAGCAGAGACTGCTTTGTTGAAATTTTGTAGGGGGCGCTATTGAGCCAATTTTCCACAACCACGCCAACAAACCATATCAGCCAATACAAAACAACCCCTCTGAGGAGTGTGCCAAGTCTCATGAGGGTTTGACTATCCCTAGCCATGTGACAGCTTAAAAGGTTTTAGGGGGTGCTATAGAGCCGATGTGCAACCCTCAATCTTAAAAATGACATCAAATTGAAACATTACCAGTTTGAGACTCTGCAAAGTTTTGTGGCTATTTGAGCATCTTAAAGGCCTCAAATATCTGTTTAAAAAATTGACAATGACGCAGGAAGTGCAAAACACCTGTGTTCATGTTGAGAAAACCTATAAAAAAGCAAAAATTTGGTCTTTATAATAAGAGCAATAATTCCGCCACATCTCATGAAGATCAAAGAAACTTTGTCAAAAACATAGTGTTTGTTTAGGGGCGCTATTGAGCCCCCTGGCCATGGCCAACCCCAATCACTGCAGAACATTTCCCACCAGACCTGAGGTGTGTGCAAATTTTCGTGTGGATTCGAGTATCCTAAGAACTTAATACTACTATAGTAATAATACTATACTATACTACTAGTGAGTGGATGAGCGAATAATAATACAAATTCATTTTAGTATAGTGTATCCACAATGTAACAGCATCATTCATTACATGACTTGCCACTATGCTGCGTCCTATGTGAAGAAATCGGGTGGATTTTTCTGTATGCGCACTCCCAAGCCTCTTGCCTACTGATTCTGAACTGTACACACAGAAGCTTACAAAATGGATTCCACTAACACCAAAAAGCGACCGGCTCCCAGCACAACACAGACTCCAACACAAACTCCATGTAAAGATAAAAAACAACAACAAAGTTTTATGTGCTGAAGCCCATCAGGCCAAACGAAAATCAGATGCTACAAGTAGCACTGTTACTAGTTTAACTAGTTATATGTTTACTAGTTATTTATTTCTCAGTAGCTGGTGGTGTAGCGCTGTATTCTGAATCAAATAGCTTCTCAGTAGCAAAGTTCTTTTATAGATCAAGTAGTACGTCTCTCTCTCACTCACTCACTCACTCACTCACTCACTCACTCAAGTCATCAGATGTTATTTAAAGGACATGTTTTTTGCAAAGTTACTATTTGGAGTAGGTCTTTATTCTTTTGCTACTGTGGTTTGAGATGAGCTATTGAGATTTGAGTACACATAGTTTGTCCTGCAAATATGACCTAGTCTAGATTAAACATACCCATACAAACACAGATGCGTACACACACAGACACACATAAACATACACACACTCCTGATACCTGGGCCTTGTTTCAGAAAGAACTCTGGGTTGACGAAATCTGAGCTAAACTCCGTTCCAGAAAGGCCGATCAGAATAAGTTCAGTCAACTCAGAGTATGTTGAGCCTGATGGAAGCGCGTGCGTGGGGATGAAAAAAAGCCATCATCAAGGGAGCTCCGATACTACGATTCACCATGGCAACGGGTAAATAAAGGCAGAGCCTCCATTTTAATCGGGTGGAGCTAGAAATATGAATGCTGCCAACGCGGACCATGATTTGCTCTAAAACGTAGTAGTGGAGGATCGATACTTTAACAACATTACATTTTATTCAGCGTTGCTCATTCATTATTTACCAGACTGGAATTTCCTTAATGAATGATATAGAGCTGGAATTCTCCTCCAGCCTGTTATTCATTTTAAATAGCTACAGGCCTGTTTATTCAGCTGGAACCTGACGGGACTAAATGCCGGTGGCAATAACTGAAGATGAAAATATTAATCGAACAGATTAGACACAGTTTATATTCCTCATGGACCTATGATTGTAAAGTGACAGTCCGACTTAGTAGGTCTATTAATGATTTTTTTTTGCAATGTAAAATGTGTTTAGGTTCAAACTGACTGTGAAGTTTTAGACGTCTATGTTCCATTAATTAAATCTTGCTCATTTCGTATTTTATGAAATGTTGTCAAAACACATTCAGACTTTTAAACTACACGTATTTGTTTCAGCTGCACCACAGTCATCCTCACTCAGAAATATTCACATCATATCCAGCTGATAACTACGATGGGAATGTTCAATCTGTGCGACTACAGTATGAAAGGTTAGTGTTCATTGATCAGTTTTATACAGTGATTACTGCAGCGCTGTAGCGCACAGTAAGTTTTTTGCCTTAATGTCCACAGAGTCACTGTGTTAGTTTATAGATTTTATTCTGTGCTGAGGATAAATCCACGATGTCCAAAGATAACTCTCTGTCCATACATCGATGACAGATTAATCATAAAAGCGGTCATGTTCAAGATCATGTTTGGGTAAAAAAAAACAAAAACAGCCTATTTAACCGTGATTTCGATGTTTCTAAAGACGTAACTGTGTTCCAATATGTGCTTTAATATGGACAGTCTGAATGAGGAAATGTCAGACAGCCGCTTCAGGCTCCGCAGGAGGGGAGGAGTCAGAGAGAAACTCAGCGTTAGTTGAAGTAAACCTCCTCCTGAGCAGGTTAGGTTCACAGCGTAAGTTGCCGGGGTTACAGACCTAGAGTTTATCTGATTTTGCTCTCTGAAACCGAAAACCCAGAGTTTCCCTCATCTCGGGCTCAACTTACTCAGAGTTTTCACTAAACCCGCTTTCTGAAACAGGGCCCTTGTTTTGTTGGTATGTGGAGCACATATTTTTTCTTTGTTTGTTTGTTTTTGTTGGCGAATTGATTTTGGAACAGTGACAGCAGAGAGCACAGCTTATTGTTTAATAAATAATTAAACTGAGTAAGGCAATATATGTGAAAATCACTTTGAAATGATTTGACTGCAAAAATTCATTGTACATCATCAAGTCTTGTGAGCTAAGTGTATCATTACACCCCTATCCTCACAACACGAAGTGATGCCCTTGATGAAAACTATGCCCAGTTTAAAATGTAAACAAACAACACAAACTTAATTTGTTAACAAGAAAGCTCTACAGGAAGCCTTTGATACTAACCTCATAGTGACTTTACATATGGAGTAGGAACTTCTATTACATCAGTGATACAGTACATTGGCTTGCCAATCTTTTGATTTTAATCTATTTGTTGCCCATCTCCTGATTTAGGTGGAATATGAAGGCCTGAAGCATGAGATCAAGGTTCTTGAGGAGGAGTCAGAGCTCCTAAACAGCCAGTTACAGGATGCACTGCGTTTGAAGGACATCTCAGACTCCCAGCTCGAGGAGGCACTGGAGTCTCTGAAGAGCGAGCGTGAGCAGAAGAACCACCTGCGCAGGGAGCTGGTCCACCACCTCAGCATGTGTGATGTCGCCTACACTGGTAGTGCCCACCTGACATTCACCTCAGCCCCACCTAGTGGAAACGCCACCCCAACCACTCTGCTCTCCCCAAACGTAGAAGAGTCATCAAGGTGGATATTGCACACATGAAACCAATGTGGAAAGAAGATATCTTTGATTTTAGTTAGTAATAATTAGTGTTGGCCATGTACTTGTTTTTTATTGTTCTCGTTATAAACGTTTCTCTAATTTTCTATACTTGCCATGTGGAAAGCAAAGTGGATCTCCTGAATTTTAAAGATGTTGTACTCTACTCTGGTCTGTCAGGTGTAACGGCCACCTCCAGGGGGGCACTGGAGCAGGGACAGCTGCAGGGTCAGTGCTCAGGGCTAATGGAGAGTGCAGAGAGCCAGGTCGGAAAGCTGAGGGACAGATGACATCAGACCTCTTCAGTGAGCTGAATCTGACAGAGATTAAGAAGCTCAAGCAGCTGCTGGTAACGGTGAGTCTGCTCTCTGATTAACATTGTACACGTTATTTACTTGAAGAAAACCAGCATTAGGGACTTAATTCAAAATGGGAGCATGAGCACAATATGAAATGGAATAAACAACATACTGATGATGTACTGATTGCTGATTTGCTTTACTTAGAACCTGAAGAGCTTGGGCTGGATTGTGACTTGTTTGTCAAATGAGAGGTCACTGTTCTGGGACATTGTTTTGTTAATGCACATGAGATTGATATTGAATGTCTCAAGTTGATCTCAAGGTAAATAAGCATATTTCCTAAATGACTGCAATTTCGTCTAGACTTAGGCCAGCTTAAAGCCTAAACCTGTCCTCAGCATTAACAAATATTGGTGGAAGACAGCACTTGGAGTCCTAAAGGAGTCACTGGAGTCAGTCAGAGATTGATGCAACAGAATTTATTGTCAAAACAAGACAAAACCTGACTAAGTCATAGCAGGCCTCTCTGGCTACAATGAATTAAAAAGTACAGAGGTGCTCAGAGTCCAAGTCAAGTTTCAAGTCACTCATGGTTATAATTTCACCTGCTGCGTTTAATCCAGGCTGCTTAAAACAGTGCATGTCTATAAGGGATTCTGTAACTGTAACCTGTTTTTCACTTACACAGCACAACCATGTGATGTGCAATGCAATTAATGACAGCTTATTAACTACTGTAAGGGTGCTTTCACACCTGGATCGATTTTTTTTGTTCCGGAACAGATACTTTGTTCCGAATCAGTGTAATACATCACTTGTGTTCACACTGCACTGTTGTAAAGCGGCCCAAATCGCACACCCTTCAGGGCTTTCCTTACGCCATTACGTCACTACCTCATGTGTGCAGATCGCGCATTCCATTGGGGGACATCATCATGACAACAGTAACACAAAATGAATCGTGGATGGACATGGCACTGCAAAGTGGTGAAACAGATGTTTGGTCGGAACACATCTCCCGGATGTTGCACACCACACACAAGAACACTGCAGTCTAACAAGAGGGTCAGTGATAAAATGAAAGAGAGAGGTTGTGAATCCTCCGTCGAGCAGTGCCGACGGCAGTAAGCCTAGGCCTACATAATACAACCACAACAACATATCGCAACAAATTAGCAAAATATGCTGCCGAAGCTGTTGAAAAGCGATCTGTTGGCGTCGGTTGCCATAGGCAACACATAATTTGTTCCGGTTCATGGGCCGGCTGTGTTGTCACTGCAAACGAACCGCTCCAGGGTTCATATGGAATCGAGCCGAGACCGCCTCTTCTAGGCGATCTCGACTCGGTTGTTTTGTTCCGGTTCAGAGTGTGATTGTTGTGTTCACATATTACCAAACGAACCGGGCCAAAAGGGAAATGCCCCCTTGTTTCGGGCAAGAAGCAAGCTAACGTTAGATGGCCAATGCTGAGCTTAACATGTTCACTTATCTCAAGTTACTAACCAATTTTGCGTTCAGCGCTTCTTTTGTTTGGGCCTTGTATGAAGTTTTAAAGCCAAAGTTTATGATGAATGGCGCAGTAGCCCCCGATGTTTGTTGTCCTCTCTCACATGTAGCCGTGCACAACAGATCCGTTGTATATGTTACGTAGGTAGGTTATAGGTAACACGTGGAGGGAATAACATCAAGCTCATGAGACACTTCCTAAAAATAAACATTGTTCACAAGTCCTGCACCTTGAGTCTGAGTCAAGTCTGAAGTCACTGTGTGAAACTTAAGTGCGACTCGAGTCCGAGTCTCAAACTCATGTCCCCATCTCTGATCGTAGCATTCTGATGGTTCTACTGGTAATTTATTCCTGTTAGTTCCCTCAGGCACCACCCAATGGGAAATTTGAGCATCGTTCTAATATTTTACTCCATTATTTTCTGGTTTCCATGGTTCCTATGTTTTCCTTAAAAATATTATGTTATCTTTATTGTTACCTGAGCTTCATTAACCACATCATTAACGGGAGTTCATTCCAGGGACAGATATATTTTTAGACATTGTAGGCAGACACCAACGGAATACTCAAACAGGCTTTCCTCAGGCCATTGGCCCCTTGGAATGTTCTTATCATACACCATTATCTTCTAAAGTCATCAGGTTGTATTTTTAAAAGGCTGCCCACAAACAGTGCATAAGTTCTTTTATTTATATAGCGCCAAATCACAACAACAGTTATCTCACAGCGCTTTTCATAAAAGAGCAGGTCTAGACCGTACTCTATGATGCTATTTACAGAAGCCCAACAGTTCCCACCAAGAGCAGCACTAGGCGACAGAGGCAAGGAAAAACTTCCTTTTAAGAGGCAGAAACATCGAGCAGAACCATGGCTCAGGGTGGGCGGCAGGGAGGACCCCCAGACACACCGCTTATATATTTCAGTATTTCCTATTTCTTTAAATAGTGTTAAAAATCTCCTCCTCTTGTTCTTGTGCATCGTCAATTATCTTATGTCCCACCTGTCCCACCTCAGCTGACACCCTACAATGTCAACCACACTCTGGTAAATGGGTAGGTTTAATGGCTGCTTCTGCTCCTGTCTAGTTTAGGAAATATTTCAAGATGTAGGACATGCAGCCTGCATTTTCATTTAAGAAAAACAAAGTAATACGCAACATTATAAAAAAAACACAGAAGAAAAATGGGACAGAGAGTTAAGTATGACAGTAAAGGTTCTGACAGAGTTGAGTTTACCCCTGCTTATGAATATCTTTCACTAAGGGAAGACGAGCTCCATACAAGCTTTTAAATTAGCTATATGTAGTTTAAAAAAATCAAATGGGCTGTAACCTCACTTAGAAATGAAGCACATGCCTGTTTTCTCTGTTGCTTGCATCACCGCTTTTCAGCTAATAATATGAGAACACCGGGTCAGGATGTAGCCCTGTGCGTGCTCCTGAGCCTCTCTCCGACCACAGCAACAGCCCCACAGCTAACGACATGCAGTCCATTAATACCACAAAACAACCAGCCCCCAGCACAACACAGACTCCCAAAATAAACTCCACGTAAGCATACAAAACAACAATAAAGTTTTATGTGCTGAAGCCCATCAGACTAAATGAGATGCCGATGATATCAAGTGAAAACACAGTGAACATCAGAAAGGCTGGAGTCACGGAGAGAATAAAGTTAACTTGCTGGCTAATGCCAAGCAGTTCCAATTGTTATCCGCTGCAAAGTTGTATTGCTTTCCACTTCTTCACCACCATCTAACGCCACCCATATTATTATCCTGTGTACCACCGGTATTATGTCAAAGTGTTTATTTAGTCTGCAGGAAAGGATGTAACTGTACATAGCGAATGTGGAGTGATTTGTTTACTAGCCTATAGTGATGCAGGCAGGGCAGCCCGCTAACGCTACATTAGCCCGGACCTGCTGCTGCTGCTGCTTAGGGGTGTACTCATTTTTGTTGCCAGCAGTTTAGACATTAATGGCTGTGTGATGTGTTCTTTGAGGGGACAGCAAATTTATACCGTTATACAAGCTGTACACTCACTACTTTACATTGTAGCAAAGTGTAATTTCTTCAATATTGTCACATGAAAAGATATCATCAAATATTTACAAAAATGTGAGGGGTGGACTCACTTTTGTGAGATTCTGTATGCTGTCTTTCTACCTAACTTTGCTCCTGCCCCCTTCAGGTTGAACGTGAGAAAGGAGCACTGATGACCAGCCTGCAGCAGTCCCAGACTCAGCTCCAACACACCCAGGGGGCACTGACCAAGCAGCATGAGAAGGTCCTCCGCCTTAGCCAGAAAGTCATTGCCCTCCGCCGCCTCCATCCACAGGCCAGTGGCATGGTCCACCTAAACCAGGAAGCACATGCCAGTGCCACCTCTCATCTTAATCCTGAGGCCCTGATGGAGCTGGACAAGGATGAAGAGGAGGTTGAAGAGGATGGAAGAACTGTGGAGGACAAGAGTGAGACACTAAACAAAGGACAATTATTTTCACACCAGACGCCAGGTCTGGAGATCTTGCAGTGCAAGTACCGTGTGGCTGTGACAGAGGTGGTGGAGCTTAAGGCAGAGGTGAAAGCCCTCCATGACAGACTGGCTCAGTGTGTAGAGGGAGAAATGGAGGAAAAGCCAAGGCGAAACGGTCAGCTCCAGAAGCTGGAGAGGCAGGTCGCCTCATTGGAGAAGAGCTGGCGAGAGGGACAGGATAAGGTAACCATGTCATACTGACTGTATGTTAGAATAGAATGAGATATAGTTACATTGATAAAATATTTCCTCTCCTCTCAGATTTCTAGCATGGAGTTGGAGTTGCAGGCAGCTCAATCAGCAGCCAATGAGAGCCAGGGGGCATTGAATGCAGCTCAAGAAGAGTTGGTGATGCTGAGCGAGGAGCTTGCCCATCTGTACCACCACGTCTGTCTATGCAACAATGAGTCCCCCAACCGTGTCATGCTGGACTACTACAGGTCTGACTGTTCTTATTAGTAGGACACATGCAGCATTAAAAGATGGAGCATGATTTCTCAAAGTTACAGTGATTAAGGCCCAATTTGTGGGGCCATTTGAGAAAACAAATATACTAGATTCAACCAAAATCATACATACATTACATTACATATATTTATACTTTTCAATCTTTTAAAGAGCGATAGAAAAAACAGTAATACATAAATAAAGAAAAAGTTAAAGATATAAAAATAGACAAAATAGATTTTAAAAAGTACATATTCAGGTGTACAAATGGAGATCATTGTGTAACATTAATTCCAACTGGCTACTTCATAGCTGAACATTCACTCTATATTCAGTACAGTACAGTGTTATTAGAGGATAAGCTATTAATAAACTCGACGAAAGTTGAACAAGTCCTAACACACTTCTCTAAGGATCTTTTTATCCTATGTTGAAGCTTGGCATCATCAAAAACATTTCCTTAACCCAACATTTAAATGAGGGGGATTCATTGGTCGCCATAGCAAGAGAATGAGTCTCTGAGCTAGTAGCCAAGGGCAGTTGTGGCAAAGGATGGGCATGACCAAAACTTATAGCTTGTGGCTTTGGTGAGGTGGCATCTTATGATCAATAAGATTTAAAATTCTATTCAGGAATTTACAGGGAGCCAGTGCAGATAAGCTAAAACAGGAGAAATATGATTTTTCCTGGGGGGCTTTCCTGGATCTTATGGGCTGCAGAATTCTGGATCAGCTGGATAGTACTAACTTAAGTGACTTATTCAGCCTGGTAATAAGGAATTGCAATAATCCAGCCTAGAAGTAATTTGAAAGTTCTTTATGACTTCAAGTGGACCATCATTTATTTCAGACAACAAAGTACGTTTAAAGGCTACCCATAGTAGGATACCACTGGCTGGCAGATCTTACAACTACACCAATTAGGTGGTGGAATTATGGGATGGATATCATGGCATGTTTCAAAACTGAAAAAAAGGTTGAAAGTCAGTGTGAAAACTTGACATCTAACAAAAAAGTTTTGCAAGATCGAAACTAGTGTTTTTTATTATTATTATTATTATTATTATTTTGAAAGTTGTCTGTTGCTCACTGGCTCTGAATACACATACAGTCAAACCATGGGTCACAGAAGGGGTGAGATCAGCCTGCAAATCATCCACCCAAACAAGCAGTGGAGGGAGACTTCGGCAGACTACGTTGGATGCAGCATGTGGGAGAAGTAGATAAACAAAGGCAAGACAAGCAAACAAATGCCATAGCGAAGTTGATAGCTACACACTGCATATGATGATTAGTACTTTCAAAGATGTCGATCTTAGGAATGTTCTTAAAATCGCAATGTAGTCACTTGGTCCCGCGGGGTTGCTCTGTGCTCCTCAGGTGAACAGACAGGGAGACAAGCTCTCTGCGTGTACATGACGGGTGCTCTATGGTGGGTAACCATGGCAACGGCTTCTGTGTGCTACACAGCTGTAGCCTGTTTAACTTAAGTTAAAATTATAGGCTACATAACTTTACCTGATAGGCCTACATCTAGTTTTGAGGGGATACTCTGCCATGCGAATTCCATCCAGTTGATGTCCTATTTAGTAAACAGCCACTCACTCCAACAGGGACACTTGCTACTGAACATAGACTGTTTATGCTGCTCCCTGATAAAAGAAAAATGTTTCTGCTGATACCTGTTCAGAAAAACAACAAGAAAACAGATTTATATATATACCAGTTGCTCAGAAGATGCCTGTTATGATCATCGTGGCTCTGGACTCTGATGGTAACTTTTAACAAGTAGATAAAAGGTAATGCCCTGGCGGTGGCATATAGCTTTGGCTTTATATTTGATTTGATTGATCAATGTTTAAGTATAATATATTTTATTGTTACCGTGTAAAGGGAATAATGCTGGTCAAAAGCGCCTTATTTGTGTGTGCAAACTACATGTTATTGCACTTTTGTTTGTATAGCAGTACACATCACATAACAAGGCGATTAATCGCAGAAAATCACGTGATTCATTGTGATTAAAATGTTTACATTTTTGCCCAGCACTAATTATTTTGTATTTAAGTTTTAATTCTTCACAACTGTGGCATTCTTTTTTACAGTGTTTGCCAACAAATTTTGAGAGTTTTAAATTTGTCACTCTTCTCCTGTTTTCTGGGTTTAAAACCTTATAAATTATGACCTGAAAACTGGTGCACATATGTTGGCAATAAGGTTTTGAAATATTGAAACTTTATGTTCAAAATGGCAAATCTTATGGTGTATGAGATGTTAACCAGGTTTGAAACCTTGTAAATGGTGTTCTGAAAACTGAGCGTATGTTGAGGAAAGATTTTTGAAAAAGGGCGAATTTTTATTACAATACATGTGCTGTCAGACCTGAGTTTACAACACCCACTTTTCGGAGATCTGCCCACACATTTGCAAGCTTGTGACTCACGTGTTTTGTGGTAGCATCTCGCAGTGCTGGTCTGAAACACTCAACTCACAATCTGAAAATCAAGCTCCGAAACAGAGACTCTCAAAAAAAGAAGAAAAAAAGCCATGATCCTAGAGGCAGGGGCATTCTGCAAAAGCAATTATTTGCTCTCTGCTCAAGTACTGTCCAATCACATGTCAGATTTGCTGGATAGGAGGGACTGACAGACTGCTCCGACAATGACTGACGCGTACAGCATATGCAAACAGGATACACGACTCTCTGGGCTGTCTGGCTGTTCCCGTCCAAGAAGTGCATTGATGTGGAAAGAAATCTGCAACAGGCGTCGACCCAACCAGTCGAGGCCGATGCCGCCCACCCCGAGCCATGGTTCTGCTCGAAGGTTCTGCCTCTTAAAAGGAAGTTTTTCCTTGCCTCTGTCGCCTAGTGCTGCTCTTGGTGGGAATTGTTGGGTTTCTGTAAATAACATCACAGAGTACGGTCTAGATCTGTTCTTTTATGAGGGGAACAACTCCAGCGGATTTATTTCCCACTTTTCTCGTGTCATCAGTGGAATCATTGGACTTTTGGGGCATGTTCGCTGTTCGGGGTTTGGGCGGCTGTGGCTCAGGAGGTAGAGCGGGTTGGCCGTTAATCGGAAGGGCGGCGGTTCAATCCCTGGCTCCCCCTGGTTGCGTGTCGAAGTGTCCTTGGGCAAGATACTGAACCCCGAATTGCCCCTGGCGGCTATTCCGCCAGTGTATGAGTGAGTGTGAATGTTAGTTTCCGTTTGAGCACTTAGGCTCAGTGTATGAATGTGTGTGACTGGTGAATGCAGATGTAGTGTAAAAGCGCTTTGAGTGGTCGAAAAGACTAGAAAGGCGCTATACAAGTACGGAGCATTTTTTACATTTACAAGCGCTGCAGGAGAGGTAAGAAAGGTCACTTGTGAGTTATTGCATGGACTCCATGCTACTAGCAATATTTCTGTCCAACGTGAGTTGTGCAGCCAAGTGGACGAACTTAAGCTACTGGTGGGTAAAAACAGAGTCTTATATTCATCTTCTGTTCTGTGCTTCACGGAGACGTGGCTATGTGGACAAAGGAAACCTCAGCCAAGAACTCTCAAAATACAGACAGTTTAGTCCAACCAGAGAGGAGAACAATTTGGATCACTGCTACACCGCAGTAAGCAGTGCCTATCATGCGATCCCCCACATTGATTTGGGTAACTCAGATCACGTCATGGTCCACCTGATCCTGTATACAGGCAAAAATTAAAGCTCTGGACAAGCATCAAAGCAGTGGACCAGTGAAGCTGTAGACGATTTTCAGGCGTGTTTGGACTGTACTGACTGGGATTTTTTCAGGACTGCTACCAACAATCTGGATGAGTTTAGTGATGCTGTGACATCTTACTTCAGTTTCTATAAGGACAGCTGTGTACCATCACAGACCAGGGTGAGTTATAATAATGACAAACCCTTGTTCTCCGCCAAACTCAGACAGCTAAGGCTGGAAAAGCAGAAGGCATTTAGGAGTGGAGACCAGCATTAAGTACAGGTTTAGTAAGGAGGTGCGAGAAGCTAAATGACTGTACCCAGAGACTACAATACCAGTTCCCTGCAAATAACACCACTTTTGTCTGGAGGGGGTTCAGACAGAGAGGGGTTTGGAGAGTCCCCCACTCCATCAACGACTCTTGCCTGGCAAATGAGCTGAACCAGTTCTACTGCCGCTAAGAGAGTCAATCGGACACCATCCCCCAAGACTCCTCCACTCATCTTCAGCCCAATCCACCATTTCACCCTACCCCTTCTTAGAGGGGGCCAGCTCCACCCCCTCCCCCTCTCTCCATCTCAGAGTCAACAGACTGTTCAGGAGGCAGAAACCTCACAAAGCAGCTGGGCCGGACTCTGTCTCCCCATCCACCCTGAAGCACTGTGCTGATCAGCTATCTCTGGTGTTCATAGACATTTTTAACACCTCACTGGAAACATGCCATGTGGCAGCCTGCTTCAAACCCTCCACCATCATCCCTGTCCCTAAAAAAAACAAAACAAGGACCACTGGACTAAATGACTACAGACACGTCGCCCTGACCTCTGTGGTAATGAAGTCTTTCGAGTGCCTTGTGTTGTCCCACCTTAAGTCCATCACAGACCCAGTCCTGGAACCCCTGCAGTTTGCCTACAGTGACAACATGTCAGTAGATGATGCAGTTAATATGGCCTTTCACTTCATCCTCCAGCACCTGGACCTACGCCAGGAATCCTGTTTGTGGATTTCAGCTCTGCTTTCAATACCATCTTCCTGGCCCTGCTACAGGACAAGCTCTCCTAGCTGAATGTGCCTGACTCCACCTGCAGGTGGATCACAAACTTCCTGATGGACAAGAAGCAGCATGTGAAGATGGGAAAACATCTCTCCAGGACCATCAGTACCGGTTCATCTCAAGGTTGCGTTCTTTACCCTCTTCTCTCTCCCTGTACAACAACAGCTGCACCTCCAGTCACCAGTCCATCAAGCTCCGGAAGTTTGCGGATGACACCACTCTCATTGGGCTCATCTCTGGTGAAGATGAGTCCGCCTACAGGTGGGAGATCGACCATCTGATGTCCTGGTGCAGCCAGAACCACCTGGAGCACTGTGGAGATGGCAGTGGACTTCAGAAAGAGCCCAGCCCCATCCCAACCCTCATCCTGCATGACTCCCCAGTTGCCACTGTGGACTCCTGCTTCCTGGGCATCATCATCTCCCAGGACCTCAAAAGCTGAACATCACCTCCATCATGAATAAATGCAAGCCTTCAAAAGTTAGTTCCGATCTTGCACAACTTTTTTGTTAGATGTCAAGTTTTCAACCTTTCAGAACTTGTTTTTCAGTTTCAGCCTATAAGAAATGTGTAGAGAAACTGGTCTTAGCTTCAAACTCCAGAATAGGTAGAAATCTGCACTAGATACAAAGGGCCCTATCTTGCACTCGGTGCAAAGCGCAGCGCAAGTGTCATTGCAAGTTTCTAACCGACGCAGATGTGATTTCACGAGAAGCCCCCATGGTGTTTAAATTGCAAATGCGCTTGTGTGTGCCTATGGGACTGTTGGACCTAAAATGAGGTTAGGTAAGGCAAATTGTTGGCACATTGCTATCTTGAGGCAGCAGAAAGCAATAGCGCCGTTGGCCAAAAAAAAACAGGTGTAAAGTCAACGGCACACTATTTCACTGTTTTTTGTTATTTTAGGGGCGTATTTCTCCAATGGTAAGAAAGTCACTGTGCACATTTATGTACAAGGCACAGCAGCGTAACTTCATTGATTATTAAAATCTCAGGACATGCCGACAGGATTGGTCAGAATCTAATGTTAGTTCATGTTCTCTGTTCTTCTTCACATCCAAAAGGTCTCACACACAGTCCAGATTCATACAATAAAACAGTTTGGAGTAAAGCAGCCATCCTCCTGATCGATAATGAGCTCCTTCAGAGCATCTAAATTATTTCAGAAGCTGAAAAAGGAAACATTGAATTCTGTGTCCTCTGGAGAGTTTCCTCTGTCCTTTCATGTCACATTTATAACTAAAGTTTTTTGTTTGGCTTGTTAAATGCCCCACAATATTTGCTGTCACTTTATTGCACACATGGAAACTTTTAAATTGACTGACCGCAGCCTCTCTAATCTTGAAAGTGAATTGTTAAAGAAAACACTCATACAGCAATACAGTGCTCTACAGTGGTTTCATTATTTTGTGTTTAAAAACTAATGAAACCACTGTAGGGATCGATGTGACTCATCACCAGTTCATCATAGTTTATAATAATGCTGCGCAGTGAGGATCCAGACGTTTCATAGAGGAGACAGTGTCTCTTTGTTAACACGCTCCAGTCTGCAGTGTAGTTCAGACACTTCACTGATAAACCACAGAGTAACATTAGGCTTCACGATCAGAGACAGTTTTTATATCACATCAACACTTTTGTCCATAATCCCTCTCTCTGCTGTGGGTCTGCTATTCAATCAGTGTCATTCATCCGCCATTAAGATAGCAATGCACCAAGATACAAGCGCACCTGGTTTTAAAGGGAATGGGAGATGACACTCTAATTGGTGTATTGCATGATACACCCAAAAGACACCCATGACTAATTCACAGACTAAGTACAACCCCTTTTGAACCATGTGCCTGGTGCACTGACCATTTTTTCCGCCATTAAACTAGCGAAACTGGAGTTGGACACGTCCTAAAACGCAACAGCACAACACGCTTCACACCGTGCACTTAAATAGTTAATAGGGTCCTAAAGGTTCGACAGGCTAAAAAATCAACTAAATTAACTTTGTTTTTCTTCTAGACAAGGTAGAGGGCTCAGGGGCATCAGTGCCAGTCTTAAAGCCATGTCTTCAGACAACAGCAAAGTTCTACTCACGCCACGTCTTGCCAGGCGGCTAGCCGCTGTCGCTTCAACAACCTCAACTCCTGGGGAGTCTCAGAGCCCTTCAGAGTCTCCATCCAAGGAGCTCTTATCTGGGGAACTTCAGGTGCCATCTGAGCAGAGCCTGCCACCCTGCACACCTCCAACCTGCTCACCCAGCATCAGTGCCTCTTCTTCATCATCATCATCATCATCACTTGCCCTGGAGCCAGCTGGTGAACTGCGCAGGGAGCCCATGAACATCTACAACCTCAACGCCATCATCAGAGACCAGGTAAAAAGCAGTTCTCATGTTGGTATCAGTGGAATTTCATTCTACTTCCCCCAAATTGTCCTATTTTTCCTCTTCTCTATTTTATTTTCTCCATTTCCTTCCTCTCCGCTCTCTCTCTCTCTCTTATTAGCACACAGCATGAAGCGCATGGCGCAGGTGCCTTTAGGGTGTATCCAAATCCACATTTGCAAGTGGGATAATGATTATATGAACAACAACAAAATACAACAGGTCAGTGTCAATAGATATAGACAAAAGGACTTGAATGATAAACATTTACTGTAAGAATTTGGCAACAGTGGGCGCTAAGTTATGGTGATAACAATGGAGACTAGTCACAGACTTAATCTGATTATTCTGAATCTAAATTTAGGCCTAAGCCATTTTTGGTCCGTTTTCTCTATTTGTAGATTTGGGCTTATAAACCATATGTAATTGAGATGTGTTTGGTATCTATGGAGAAGACCCCAAGCTAACATAATCATGCATGTAATGTGCTTATAAAGGAAGTATGAGTGAAAAATGTAAAATAGAGAATTTCATAAACGAAAATTAGATTTCTCTCTCTGTTTATTAATGAAAATCACACCTTATACATCATTACTGAACAGCTTTAGAACTCAAAACATGTTTATCCAACCCTTTGTGTAACATCCATCTGCAGGTTTTCAATAAAATGTGCCTAGAACAATGGAATAATGCAGACTTTTTTGAAAATGTCCTAGGCATTTTTCTGATGCATGCCTCTGAGCAAAGCAAGGCATCACTAAGAAGATGCAGAGGGGCTCCTGGCATGCCCCACACTACCAGGGGGTCTTGTTATAGGCTCTGCTTGCCTTACAAAGTGCTCAAAGTACTTTATAACATCTGCAGTCCTGTGTGCATGGTTTGTGGGTCCACAGGGGCAATGGGCACAGTGTGTGTGGTCAATCATCTTATCTGCAGCCATTGAAGACTATATGAATGTGTTTCCGTTTAGGCAAAACTGTGTGGTTGACAGTTTTCAGTGGACTTGAGCTAGTTTCTGCTCCGTTGCTTTAGCATCAGATGTCTGATAGTAACTCTTACATTCTGTACTTGTTTTGATCCTTTTAACAAAACCACTGGCTGTTTAAAATTAAGTTAAGTTAATACCAAGTGAGATTGGTGGACATACAACAGACTTAAAAGGAAAAATACTGGTTGCTTTCCTAATCAAAAATATACGCAATTAAGCTGAATAAAGAAACTTTAAATGAAAATAAATCTTCTAAGGTAGATAACATAAAATTAAGTATAGAGTAATATATCCCATTCTGGGACAGAATAAACAGTGAATTTTAAGAGATCTCACGGACGGTATGTTGAGTTTCCAAAAGCTTAAGAGAACAAACAAAGAAATATATCTGGTTTTATCAGATGTTTCTTGGGGCGTGACATGAAGGGAAGGGGTCAAGTATTGCCCCCTCCTTAGTTTCTTTCTGTTATAAAGAAACTTTATTGTAAGTAAGGAATATCTAGATTACGCACGTTCAACCATATCTCCTGTCACCGTCAACACATCATAATAGTATGATTCTGTATTAATGTATATTGTCTACTATGTAGCAGAAGGGAGTTACAAAACACAGTTTCACTCTATAACTTGTTATATTGTGACAATAAACCTACCTACCTAATAACCGGGAAATATGTATCTCATTGAACATTTCAGAACAGTAATATCCTTATGTTTATTTAACATAATTTCTGATGACCTTAACAGACTGAAAGAAGGCTAATAAAACAAGATCGTTTTTATTATCATCAATATTATTAGGGAGGGGTTTACCCAAGCCTGTATTTATAAAGGCCCAGGGTGACCAATAGTGACTGATCACATGTGATTATTTGGTGATGTTATTGGTTTCATCCAATGACTGAGAGGTCAGGTTGCGCTGCTGCTGCTTCTGCTGCTGCTATTCATATGGTAAGTAAAGTCGTTAACACCTCCACACCCCTCCCCCGTGCTCGTGTGGGTACATATACGACGATTTTCAGCACAGATGAATGCAAACATGCAGCGCTGTAAACGGCCGATAACTGCCAGCCATTCTGGGATTCAAGGCAGTTTACAGGGATGAAAATCCTGCTTTTCATGCAGTGTTAATGCACACGTATCCTAATTCCTAGATATTCCTAACAGTAATATAAGACTAATTTGAACAATAGAGAAAATCAACACATTAAAACAATTCTCGTAGCATTCCTAACTACTTTTTGTGGTAAATTCTAATACTCTTAATAAAGAAAGAAAGAAAGAAAGCACAAACTAAAGCAAGGATAACTGCACAGGTCATATTGCAGGATTTTAACGTTTCAGCATGATAAATGGATACACTCAACACCACATGTAATGGCTATAATACTTTTAGCTAGGATCTTAATTACTTAGCTGCTATACATACAGTAACTTTTACTAATCTAGAAAAGAAAGATTAAGTGAACAACGTACAAGAGAAAGACTACCTAGGTTAATATAAAACACAGATTATAAAGATTACTTCTGTATGGTATGAAGACTTTAAGGCTATGTGACCCAAATCCAATTTTTTCCCCCATATGTGACTCAGATCTGATCTTTTTATGACAGTGTGAACAAGCCAAGTCACATGGAATCTGATCTTTTCCAGTTCGGAATTGGGCCACTTCCATATGTGGTCCAAATCCGATACAGATCGGATGTTTTTAAATGCGACATCAGTCTGGACACTCATTTGATGCGACTTGACGTCACTGTAGAGCAGCTGTTCTGCTGCAGACGGAGCCACACTGAACGAAAAAGCTCCACAAAAAGCCATTATTAAACATGTGGCTCTCATCCTTCTACCTCGCTATCATTTGTTCAAAAATTCCCTTTCTTATAACTAAAATTCACCAGACCAGAGCTCTCTTCTGAGTTGCATGCATGCTACTTCTCCGAGCGGACATTGTGGAGAGAGAAAGAGAGAGAGACGGAGGGAGTGAGTTGTGGTGCAGATGCGTTGTCCAGCGGCAGCGACGTAAAGAACAGAAAGTTGTGAACACTTGTCATAAATCAGGAAAAATGTGACCCGTGAGAAGATAATGAAAAACGTGGCTGGCCCTCGCACTTGCAGCGTGTTGGGGTGTGAGGCGGCTGCGTTGCACATTCTGGAGCTCTGCCGGTGCCGCTGTGAATTGGCTACACGTTTCGGACGCTGCATGAAAGTGTTATACGTCACTCCCTGTGTCCCCTTTTTGACGCTACATAGCACTTGTTGCTGTGACTATAAATGAATATTGGCATGTAGATGTGTTTAGGGCGGGACAGTTATCAAGCACGTAAAGTTTTGTGCAGATGTGAGCATGTACACTGAAGTTACAACAACTTCCTGTGTTGTGGCGAAGACTTGATCTTTGACGCCACCCCACGGACACGCCCTTCCATCCAATGCCTTTAGAATGCACAGTAGAAAATTTAAGTCTATCCGGTTAATTCCCTAGGAGGAGTTTGTTAAAGTATAGAGCTCCACGGGCACGGTGTTCCACGAAAACTCAAGTTTGCACAACTTTTAATCATCAGTGGGTTAAGACTGCACTGCACAAATTTGAAGTTGGTCGGACTTGATCCCTAGGAGGAGTTTGTTAAAGTACAAAATGTGTAAATCTCAAAAAATTTAATTAAATCCAAAATTGCCGACTTCCTGTTTGGTTTAGGCTATGGCTCAAAGAGGCTTTTTTGTATGTGACATGATACACGTACCCCAGAAATTTCGTACGCGTAGGTGAAACTTTGTCGGGGGCTGCTCTGTAGGGGGCGCTAGCAAGCCATTTTGCCACTCCCACACGCGAAACTAAATTTTTCACCGTGTCTGAATTTTGTGCAAAGTTTTCGCGTATGTTTAGGCCCCTAAAATTGTGGTTACTTTGCAGAAAAAAGAAAGAAAGAAAGAAAGAAAATATCCCTTCAGTTTCAATAGGGACCGAGCATGGTACGTGCTCGGCCCCTAACAATGCACAATAGGAAAACATGCAATGCAACTGAAATATAGAAAAAAGAAATGTGCATTGTCCAAAAGCTGATTACTGCATTATATTCTATTATATTTTTATATTTTGAATTTGATTAAATTAAAAACTTAATTTTGTTTCCCTTCATATAAATAGACATTTCCACCATAAATTGGTGCAGACAGTGTGTTCAGAAAGCAGGAAATTAAGTGGTTAATGCGCAAAGTCGTTAATATTATAATATTTACTAGTTCCATGTTTTCACCCACCTGTTAAAAGGATGAAAGATTTTAATAGTAACCAGTGAGGAGGACGCAGTGTGTTACGTTGGCTTCTTCTCTCAGTAGACTGCAAACCTTTCAGAAGGCCACAAGACAAAAGGTGTAGCCTTAGGAAACTGCCCCCCCCTGCTGGCAGGAAAGGGTAGCAGCACCCAAAACACACATCAAAAGGAAATAATACATAATAAATCAACATTATAATAAATCACTATAAATGGTGACACACATTTAGCGGGTGTCACACCTGCTGAAATGGTCTAACACTGTTAGACGCCACACACAGCTGCTGCGACGTAATGTTCAATGCGACACACCAGCGATCCACACAGCTTTCTCTTTTTCAAGTTAAAACGTTTCAACATTCCTCAGAATGTAAAGACAGATAAGCGGTATGAAAACCTTCCAGCTGTGTTTTCCTCTGCCGTTGTTGCTGCAGCAGTCTGTGTGACGGCGGGAGCAGAGGGCTCGTTGAGCGGGCGGCTGGCCGGCCTCACACGCTCCTCCCGCGGGTTGGCACAGGCTTCCCCCGCAGCCACTTGCTGAGCTCCTCAACTCAAGTGGTTGGCACTGTCGCCTCACAGCAAGAAGGTCGTAAGTTCAAACCCCAGTTGCCCCGGCCTTTCTGTGTGGAGTTTGCATGTTCTCCCTGTGTCTGCGTGGGTTCTCTCCGGGTACTCCAGCAGGTTTACACCATTTACGGCTTCCTCCCACCATCCAAAGACATGCGGGCTAGGTTAATTGGTGACACTAAATTGTCCTTAGGTGTGAGTGTGAGTGGTTGTTCGTCTATGTGTGGCCCTGCGATGGACTGGTGACCTGTCCAGGGTGTACCCCGCCTTTCGCCCGATGCCAGCTGGGATTGGCTCCAGCGCCCCCCTGTACGCAGGATAAGCGGTTGACGATGGATGGATGGATTTTTGTTCCGCCATTACTTACTCGTAAAACTGTCAATATTTGAAATCTACACAGCTGATTTCTCACCTCAAAACTTCTCAGAAGTGGATTTAGTGATGAAATTCCATATGAAAACTGTAAAATATAAAACTTTCTGTTGCTGCTCTCTGTCTGGTGCACGCAATGATGATGCAGTGAATAGTCAAGGTCAAGGTCAAAGTTTATTTATATAGCACGTTTACAAACAGTCACTACTGCCCCAAAGTGCTATACAGATACAGAGAGCAGCATAAGATAAAAAGCATAATAAATAGCCGAATAAAACCCTTCTAAAACAGAATATGCCAAAAACAATAAAAACAGACAACAGATAACTATACTTAAAAACAATAACAACAATAAAATAGTGACGATTCTCTCTGACCAATCAGCAGTCTGTCATGTTTTCACGTTACATTTTAGTATCACTCAGCTCGCTTGGAACCTCACGGAGGTGAGGTGATATGAAAAAAGTACCTGGAAGCAGGTACAGGTACAACATTTCTACAATGGAAATCCAAACAAAGGCGAGTCGAGCCAAAGGGCCTCTGATCAGACTAGCTTGGTTTGAGGGCGTGCCTGACCCCACCAGCTGCTTGGCAAGCTTTATGACGCGTTTTCATTGTGAAGTCACAAGTAAAGGAAGTGAAGGGCTGGACTACAAACCAGCTGTTTTCAAGCAGTTCAGAGCAGAGTTTTCTGTGGGAGATGGGAACTCCCTTTGGGCTGGACTTTGGGCTTTTTCACTTTGCAAACCTGTTACATGCACAAAAAAGATATATAACTCAATAAAGGAGAGGAGAAAAGCCAAAAAGCATAATACTACCTCTTTAACAAACCATTTCACCTATATGAACAAATTTCTGTGGCACATGTATCAGACATACCAAATAGCCTCTTGGAGTGATGCCCTAAACCCAACAGGAAGCCAGCCATTTAGAATTTTATGGTAATTTTTGGATGATTTTCACACTCCTCCTAAAGAATTAGTATGACCTACTTCAGATTTTTGCTGTCTAGTCTAATCCCACTGATTTTTAAAAGTTGTACGAATAGTGAGTTTTTGTGAAACGGCGTGCCCGTGGAGTGGCATCCAAAATCGATGATTTGTCATGAAAGAGGAAGTTGTTGCAACTTCATTCTGCATGCTTACATCTGCACTAAACTTTACGTTCTTGATAACAGTCATGCCCCAAATACATCTACATGCCAATATTCAGTTATAGTCATAGCAGTTATAGTTATAGCACCTTTGTGCGCCGTCCAAAGCGCGTGGTAAATTCACGGCGGACGACAGAGCTCCAGAATCTGCAACGTGGCCGCCTCACACCTCAACACGCTACACGTGCAAGAGCCCGCCCAACACTGCTTGCAGCTTTAATTTTTTTGTGTGTTTTTTGTGTTGAGGCAGTGTTCTTAATAGAGGAGCTGCAGAGCGCCCTCTGTTGGGAAAACTATGCAACAATCATGACATGAGTGAAGGACCTGACTCTTTGTTTCATTTTTAATAGCCATATATCTACTGTTTATAAATGCATATGTCAATTTAAATGCAATTAGCTCATATCGGCCGATAATATTGGCCAGCCGATAAATCGGTCAGACTCTACTTCTAACTTGCTCACCTTACACCATAAGAACACAGGATTTGGATGAGCAATACAGTACAGAACAGTAATACAGTTTATTCACAACAATATGACTCCAGTGTGTCTCCAAAAAGAATGTTTCTCAAAGTTTTATTGTCTGTGTCTGCTTGATGTTATCTTGGTTCACACAAAGATTTCAAGAAAAGGCAGAGTATAACTGTTCCAGAGTGGTTTGTTAATTAAATTATCATGACAGACATCTCATCTCTTGCAGAGTTTGGTATGGTGAATAGAGTCTGTCTAGTGTTAAAGCTGGTGTTTTAACAGTCTCTGGTTGGTCAAGCAATCCTTTTAGTGGTAAAACAAGTTGTTTGATCTTATCAAAGAGTACTCCCCTAGTTCTTTGTGGGTGAGGAGCAATGTGAGCCTGCATGTCTCTGTTATTGCTCAAAATGACCTCAACACTTCATCCGGTACAAAATCCAGGTAAGCTTGTACGTTGGTGCTTTGCTACTTAAATGGCGCATGAATGGCACATTATAAAAACCATAATAAAATACAAATAAATAAATAAATAAAGTATGTATGACGCAAACTTGCAGCAGAGAGAGAGTTTATGTGAATGAGCGAGACAGTAAGTGTGAGTATGACTGAAGTGTCGACATGATATAAAAACTTTATTTAATCACGAAGCAATGTTACTATACAGTTCTGTGGTTTACATCTGAAGTGTATGAATTACTCGGGAGACTGAGTTAAAAGTCACAAACAGACTACTCCAAGTTATATATGCTCCTCTCCTCTATGAAACCATCTGCATTATAATAAACCATGATGAAGTGGTCATGGATCTCTCTCTTTCAGGTGATTTCTGTATTGATGTATAGTGTTTTCTTTAACGATTTAGTTTCATTAGAGAGGCTGATGTCAGTGCATTCTGACCAATTCTGTCATCGTGTCAGGTTAAATTATCAATGAAGTTTTGCTGCTGTTTTTTGTGTGCGGATTTCTTTTGTCTTTCTTAATGGGGAAACACTCTATTTCCCCAATCCGCTATTAATCAGAGTGTTCATTTTTATGACCAGATCCAATCAGTCTGCAGATATAACTGCAATGTGCACATAACTAGAACTATGCAGGTGCATCTTACTATCTGAATAATGCTCCATTGACTTTAGACCAGGTTTTTGTTGTTGAATCGCTTTCTGCCGCCTCAAGATAGCAAGGCGGTAACAACTATGGGCGCGCACAAGTACACAATGCAGGCAAGTACACAATGTGGGCGACAACTGCGTCAGTCGGAAACTAGCAATGACACTTGCGCTGTGCTGTGTGCTGCTTTTTGCGCTGCTTTTTGCCGAGTGCAAGTCCATGGTCATTTACCTAAAATATGACACCTTTAGAAAACTATGGTATTTTTCTTTTCATTTCTTATCTTGATTTTCCAGTTGCATATTATTGTTTCTCTTCTTCCTTCCTATTCATAGTCTGTCTGTCTTCTCTCAATTTGGTGAAGGTGAAGCACCTCCAGCGGGCAGTAGACAGGTCTCTGCAGCTGTCCAGACAGAGAGCTGCTGCCAGGGAACTGGCCCCTCTCCTGGACAAGGACAAAGAGAGCTGCATGGAGGAGATCCTGAAGCTCAAGTCTCTGCTCAGTACCAAGCGAGAGCAGATAGCCACCCTCAGACTGGTGCTCAAGGCTAACAAACAGGTGAGATGCACACATGTGGCAATGTTTTGGGTATGCTTGTTGGTCCAACATTTTTATCTGTTTAAAAACTACTTGTGCAGTGCCCGCCTGCCCGGCCACAGGGGCCGACTGGATGCCTCCCTGCACTTTTTGTTCAAAATGTGTGTCTCACCTTGGTTTCACCTACAGCAGCAGCGGCCCGGTGGTCAAATAAATAAATACTTTGATAGTGTCATGAGAGCAACAGTTACTCACATAATCACTTCCTCTTAAGTGATTGTGCCTACAAAAGTTTTTTGCAGTAATGCTTTCTTTCAAGTTGAATTGAGAGGTTTTACTCTCACGAAAAGTTTTGATAGACATTCACCATCTGCACTATGCATTGCTGTTTGCGTTATGGAGCTAGATCGGTCTCAAAAAGAAGAAATGCACACAAGGTTCACAAATGCACAGGATAAGACTCAAATGTATTTCTGATGCACACACAAATATTTCTTGATTTACAAACTGCTTGTGTTTGTAAACTTTTCTGCATTTTTTTCAACAGAGAATTATCTGTAGCCAATTAGATGTCTCCCTCATTTCAGCCAATCACATGAAAGCATCTCACGTGGGGGGGTGATTTACCAGTTATCATGATTGCGTAATTAAAGGTGTGAGAGACAAGGTGGGTGCCGGCGCTCTCGCTACTAGCTGTCTGTCTGCTGTGTTAGCAGTAATTTGCAGGTATCGGTGTGAACATGATACAAAGCATATATTTTATGAACGTTTTATGAACTTCAGTGTTGAACAGGTGTCTAGCATCATAGATTATTACTGCACAGTGTCCAGCAGTATTGCACATATATATTATTACATGCCAGAAAGTTTATCATGCTGAGGCCATCTCAGAGTTCAGTAGGTTTATGGCAGTTGGGAGGAAGCTGCTTGTGTGTGTGCTCTGTCAGTAACTGTCAACTCATGTTGTCTTTTGAGGTGCTGATTGCAGTATCCATCCAGATGTGGCTTTACAGGATATAAAAGTCCCAGCTTCCAGCGTGGTTTTACTAGCTCCTGTACACTACTGCTTTGCTTAGTTTTTTGTTTTTACATGTACTCCACAACACCTGAACACTACTGATTTCAAAATATGACACTGAGTTTCTATCCATAGGTTCTATTATTATAGTAAAAACACATTTACAAGTAATATAAAACAACTTTTACATTTGTAACCTTTTACTTTTGATGTTTTCATGAATGCAAAATATGATTTTAATTTGTTAAGCTGTTGCTTGTGTATGGAATCATTTTGTTATATAAAATAGATCAGACAATATACTTAGTATAAAAGCACATTCTTCTTTGATCATTTTCCTATGTTAATTGGAAATAAAGTGGTGACCTAAACGTTGAACAAAATATGATCGTTAACAGCTGTAAATATTAAGGTTGTATGTATAGGTTAACATATTTCATATATGTTAGTAGAAAGTAAAAAAAGCTGATGTTGTCTGCTGGGAGAAATGTGACATTCACTGAGAAGTTACACTCTATTGTGAAAAACAAAGAATTGAATAGTATTGATGCCCCATAGGCGAGGTCATTTATTACGACCTCTGAGAAGGTCTTGAAGTAATTGCACATGTATTGTGAGGCTTACACAGTGAGTCCACTCCCTCCCCCTCCCCCTCTCTGTCTCTCTCTCTCTCTCTCTCTCTCCCTCACCCCCAACCGGTGGAGGCAGATGGCCGCCCACCCTGAGCCATGGTTCTGCTCGAGGTTTCTGCCTCTTAAAGGAAGTTTTTCCTTGCCTCTGTCGCCTAGTGCTTGCTCTTGGTGGGAACTGTTGGGCTTCTGTAAATAGCATCATAGGGTACAGTCTAGACCTGCTCTTTTATGAAAAGCGCTGTGAGATAACTGTTGTTGTGATTTGGCGCTATATCATTAAAATTTAATTTAACTGAATTATGCCTATGTTGCGTTATGGCTACGCCACGGTTTTGATCCGTCAAAGTCCACTGGAAGCATATCAGAAGCGTTTCAGCAGTGGACCGTGCAGGTTACCCCATATTATAGACTTGTTATTAATTTGTCATTTTTGTGCTTCTACTACCTTCTTCACAGGTTTCTGTGACCCCGTTTCATTCTGTCAACTTAAGGCTGCATATCCCGCAAGTAGCATTTCAGAATCAGAGCATTTTGCCTGCCTGATTTTGCTGACATGTTTAGATTTTGTTGATTTGGTCATTAGTGTTTGCTTTTTGTGCTTCTACTATGATTAAGTAGGCTACGTAGCCGCTTCTGGGACACTTCTGGGATGTGCTGCAGCGTCTGGTGGACTCACAAGCATTGACTAGAATGGCTGCAATTAGCTCCTGCAACCGTGGCACAAGCGTACTTACACTATATTGCCAAAAGTGTTAGGACACCCCTCCGAATCATTGAATTCAGGTGTTCCAATCACTTCAATGGCCACACCTGTGGCATGTGACATATTTCAGCAGCTGTGTGACGCGTTTCAGCGTGCTGGATTACCATGGAGCCGAGTGGTAGGCATAACTGATGCAGCCCTATCTATGACAGGCAGAAAAAATGGACTGGATGCACTGCAACAAAGAAAGTTAGAAGAGGAAAAAGCAGGTCCAGCAGTTGTTCTGCACTTTATACACCAACAGGCACTGTGCAGCAAGTGCTTGAAATATGAACAAGTCAAGTCTGTTGTCTGTTTCAAATGGAACTTATTGACTTGCAGTGTAACAGTGAACTAAAAAGGCACAGGGAAAAGCAGATCTGATTGAACAATTTAGGCAAATGTGTCTCAGTTGTGTGAGAAAAAGCGCTGCCAGGTGTCTGGCAAGAGTTAAAATAAAGTAGGCATTGCCTTTGTTAGTTCAGGTTAAGTTAAGTTATTAGAAAAGTAAAGTAAAGAAAAAGTGTGAAATTGAAATGTATAAAACTGATGTTTGCATTTATGATGCTCAGTTTCATTTGTGGATGAAAGTGTACTTCAGTGGCACAATATGAATTACTTAAGTAAACACATGAAAATGTTCAAAATATGTTGGTCATAAAAAGTACATTTTGAGAATATTGGAGTACTTTAATGTTGTTGTCACCCTCCTATGAGACGACAGTACCAAAAGTGGCCCCTGGACAATTTGAGTTTGAGACCCCTGTCTTAAAGTATAAGGTAGAAAGTAAAAATACTCCTTGCACTCCCTGATCACTTGTGTCTCTGTATCTCTTTTTTTGTACTATTTTAGTGAGCCAAGAAGTGGGAAGAAAGACTATTATGAACAGCCTGTAGTTAGCAGAGGTGGAAAGAGAAATTAAGTAAAAGTACAATTACTTTGATGAACTTTTACTTAAGTACAAGTAAAGTTACTGGTATAAAAATCTACTCACGTAAAAGTAAAAAAGTAGCTCATTTAAAATTTACTCACAGTAAAAGTTACTTACTTTTCTAACCTCTGAATATAACTTATTTATATTGATTTAATATTATACGTTTTACACATATCATACATTAATGTTATGAGAAGTTTGAGAATGTTTTCGCTTCATTAATTAACTGTGGCGAAACAGATTAGATATCATAAGCGTTAGTATAATAAATAACTAGTTATCAGAAGTTGCTAATGCCAACCAACATTGTCATGCTTTAACTGCAAGGGTTCTGGAACTAAAGAGTAAGAAAATTAAGGCGTAATTGCTTTCCCACCACTACTATATTTCAGCTTCAAATGGGCAAAAACACAAATCACCTCCACATTTTAAAATAGGGCAAACTGTTGGGAGCTCTCACACATCTGACAAACACATGGCCCTGAGAGAAATAATCTGCTGGAAACAATACACTACACAAATACATACATAAAGGCAGCGCAAGTGAGTTGCATAAGTGTCAAAAGTCCAGTCCAATAAAAAAGCAGCAATAGTCCATATTCCAAGAAGAAAGGGAAACTGTTGTATCCAAATTGCCTAAAATGGCAACAGCTCACTTATAGTTTGTTTTTGAGTCACTGGGCTTTCTTTGACAGAGTGTTGCTATCCAGCTCCATCACAACTTTCTGCAGCATAAGTTCAAGAGGGTTGTTGAGGTTCAAGTCATACATTAGGCCAAACAAGCTGGCAGCAGCTAAGCCAACGTTGTCCAGATCATGCAGTACCGCTTGGCCTTCCAGGACAATCCCAATGTCTTCTGGTCTATCAGTGGAATCTCACGTATTCCCACCATGGTCTCCTCAATGGCTCCTTGGTTCAGGTCTTTGTCTTCTGCCTGCAGAGTGGACAGTCACAAAAGAACCATATGAGAGGAAAGAAAACACCTAAACCTTAAGCCTATTATGCCCAGAAAACTTGCGCCCCCGACAGAGCAGTCCCCGTAGTAAGACCTATGTGTACGAAATTTCGATGGTACGTGTATCATGTCCAGACATACAAAAAAGTCTCTTGGAGCGATGCCCAACACCCAACAGGAAGTCGACCATTTTGGATTTAATGGTTCTTTTTGGTGATTTACACAACTCCTCCTACAGAATTAGTCCAATTGACTTCATTTTTGCTGTGCAGTCTAAACCCATTGACAATTAAAAGTCGTACAAACGTTGAGTTTTCATTCACGAGCATGCCCGTGGCGTGGCCTTGAAAATTGATGATTCGCCATGAAAAAGGAAGTTGTAATAACCAGTGTACATGCTCACATCTGCACTAAATTTGATATGGATAATAAGAGTCCTGCACAGAACACACCCACATGCCAACATTCACTCAAAGCCATAGCGCCATCTCCTGGCAACAGGAAGTGACCTTTAATGAAGCAGCCCCCGCGGCACGTTTCACCTAAATATACAAAATTTCTGTGGCACATGTATCATGTCCAGATGTACCAAAAAGCCTCTTGGAGCGATGCCCTAAACCCAACAGGAAGTCAGTCCCTGAACACATCCAGATGCCAATATTCATGACACAGGAAGTTGTTGTAACTCGACTGTACATGCTCAGATCTGTACGAAATTTTACACGAGTCCCGCCCTGAACACAAGTATATGCCAAAATTCACCTGTAGTCATAGCGCCACCTGCTGGCAACAGGAAGTGACCTTTAACAAAGCAGCCACTTCCAGGGAGATTGGCTACAATTCAGTGGAACTTAAACTTCTGAATAATATGTGCAACTGTAGTCAGAGGAACATCAAGCTGCGTTTATTATTACTTTTGTCAGTTTCAGGGATCATTGTGGGTTTTTCCTTTTTTAGCGGTGCTAATAGCAGTGTTTCAGGAGCGAAACCGCACATCAATGATGTCACTCCTGGGATTTCCATAAATACCCACTCAACCTATCTCCTCTTCTTCGCTCTCGTATTCCATGAAAGTAGAGTCTACTTCCTTGGCAGGTGTGTTATCAGTCAGTAGTGATCATTTTTCACCACTGATGAACCACAAAGAATATTCCACGATGTGCATGCAATTGTCGGTGGCTAAGCTGGTAATGATGAAGTCACTGGCTACCAACCATCAAAGATACATGCCCCTGGGGGTTAAGCTGACTAACAACCTCTACGCTAGCAACAGAGAGCAGCATGCAGCATTAGCTTCTTAGTCATAGCTAACTTGATCATGTTGGGCTAGGGGGCGTGATTTCAGCAACCAGGCACCTTAGTTCCACCCACACCCCCACTTGCCTATTATTGGTTATCCGGGAGTGACGTTAAGTGACTCAATCCGGCTCCACCCACTTTGAGCTCTTCATGGTGTAGTGGGACAACAGTGTGGATTTGTGCATTTTATATTAAATAAATTTGGAGCTACTCCAAATTCCTCTTTTCCTCTCCCAGAGGAGCAGGGGGGTTAAAGATCAACTTTCAACAGACTGCTGAAGAGAACCCAACGGAAGGGGGGTGGGAAAGTTGCTTTCTCTAAGTGCCTGAGCAGCCTGATCATAAAACTGGCACCTTTTTGATTCCGAAGCTGATAACGCGGTGCCTGACTGTTAAACTGACAAAAGGGACACTAACCAGCGATTAGCATTACCCTGAACAGCCTATCAAAACTGCCCCCCCACACACACACATGTAACTGTGGCAACTGACATTGCTCTGTGTTTCATTACCCCATCAAAGGGACACCCCCTTTTACGCCTAAGTGTGACATAATCCAGGACAGCCGAACTTTAAATAAACAAAGACTGCAGTCTCCGAAGACCCCAAAGCCTTAACCAGCCTGTTTAATTAAATCTTTTAGTTACTTGATTACGTTTGCCTCTATTTGAGTAGTTATGTTACCATGTTGTTGCTATCTGTTGTTGATATTAGTGCTGAAAAGAATCTAAATAAGTTACTTTTGCAGAGTTTTTTATTTTCAGCAGGATTAAGGACACTCCTTAATCTTATGTGTAACCAATACTTGTTCACAATACTTTCTCACACAATTCCTTGTTCTTTGAAATGTCATACTATACTCTTAATTATCCAGCTTGAATTTAAGGCTGAATTCCCCAGTTCCTAAGGAAAGATTTTTTTGGGTTAATCTAAGCTTTCCTCATGTAACCTGAGCTCCCCCAAGTGGACTAAATAAGTATTACATACCATCGTCAGAAATGCCGTTAATGTATAAATGTCATGACCAATAATGGGACAATTGTTTCCTGTTACCAAATGCTTAACTTAGAACGGTACAACCGTTTGACCATTGAGGTTTGATTGTGGAAAATATTTGATTATAATACGCGCAAATAGATTTTCTTTTCTTTTAGACATTTAAGTTTAGAAAGGCAGTCCCTCGGGAAACCACGCACCAGACAACAAAAGAGCGACACACGACGTCGCTCTCTCTCTTTTCTCTTCTCAGCTCTTCTCCTCTCCTCGTGCTCTGGTCTTCCGCTCTGCTCTCTGGACGCTTCGGCACGTGTCCGGCGTGCCTCTCCCGGCAACGCCCTAAGAGTTCGACCAGCGCAACGAGGCCTTTGTTCGCTTGAAGCTACACACGCGAAGTGCCGCGACATCGATTTTCCCTCATTAACAGCAACTTTACTTGTTTTATTTTCTTTCTTTTGTTTTGTTAAAGTTACCAGTCCGTTAAGTTACACTGGTCTAATTCAGGAACGACCAAGTTCCCCTTTTAAGCTTTTTCGTCGCGCTAAGCCCACGGAGGCTTGCCAGCAACCACAAAGGACGACTTAAACCTGACCCAAGACAGGGTCAGGAAGGCCCCACTGCAAGTTTCTTCCATAAGCCTTCCAGAGACGGACCCCGGAGAAATTCCCTGGCAGAGAAAGCGACTGACCGACAGCTTTAAGTTGTCCTAAACGAGAACGCACGGACTCTGCCAGTGTGAGGCCGTTTCCCAGCAACCAGGCGGAAGAAACACAAGCAGTAAGACCAAACAAACATTCTGTGGTCAGGGATGTCCCATAATGCTAATATTGTCTTTTAACACCTAAACTCATAGCTTACTTTCATTAGTTCTCCTCTGCCGTATGAGTCAAATGCTTCCCACAATCGAACCTCCATTTCTCATTGTTCAGCCATTGTTTATTGCCCTGATGTATTTAACCACCCTTTTATATCGCTTTAGTTAGTTAATAAATTCACTGTAATCAAGGAACTGTGTGTGTTGACTATCTCCACGTCCCTGCCAAGAGAATTGACCCTTTAGATATGAGACTGACTGACTGATTTAAGATAATTTAGCGATCACTAAACTGATCACTAGTAATAATTGTATAATTATTAAAAGCTACCTAGAGGTCTGGAGACTCTAGGATAATAACAACTCCGGTGGTGCCCTTTTTAAACGAGAGCTTTTTATGGATTAATATATTTTTGAATATTAAAATTCATAATTGGGTATTAATTCTCATATATTTATTAAAAATAGCTAAGTTTTAGCCATTCTACAATGGTCTGAACTTGACCGCAAGTCACCACCGCATAGAAGTAGTGCCTTAAAGTAAATCATCTTCCGATTAGCTAAAACAGTGGCTGCAGATAATTCCCTGTTGAAAAAATCTTGTCCTGTGCATTTGTGAACCTTTTGTGTACATTTTGTGTGTGCATTTCTTCCTTTTGAAACTGTTTTCGCTCCATAATTTTGCACATTCAAGTGAATCTGTGTATTTGTGGTGTTTACCCAGACGGCAGAGGGGGCTCTGGCCAACCTGAAGAGTAAGTATGATGCGGAGAAGTCCATGGTGACTGACACCATGATGAAGCTGAGGAACGAGCTCAAGGCCCTGAAGGAGGATGCCGCCACTTTCTCTTCTCTGCGGGCCATGTTTGCGACCAGGTGAGCGATGAAACAGAAGGAATTAAAGCAGAGGTCCACGAGGATCATGCCATTTTGGCCATATGAGGTTGCTGATTTCACATAGAACTACCGGTTTTCTCCCAATTCATTTTTATACAGCCTATTATAATATAAATATCAACATATAATGCTGTAAATAAAAATGAAAAGAAAGAAGCTTTTAATAAATCTTTTGTGCGTGAATAAATCCAAAATTGTGTGTGGTAGATTTGGAAGAGACATGAAATGTTCGAATAATTTTTCACCATTGATGAACCACACAAAGAATATTCCACGATGTGCATGCAATTGTTGGTGGGCATGCAGAGGCAAGCAGAGAGTAAAAAAGATAAAAAATAAGCCTCATTAGAGATAGAGACTGCAGCTTCTCAAGACTAAAGCGGAACTACCGTGTGTCACCTATCCCCCACACTCACACACACACACGAGTCAACTATAGGCAAGACTTGACAATTCTGATTCGACAATGTAAATCTTTAATCTGGGACAGCTATAATAAAACTGTCAGTATAAAAGAAACATTTGCTACTTTCCTGCTTCAGGAGAGCTTTTCATCTAACTAGAGAACGAGAGAGTGTGTTTCCCAAATTTTCGTATTATTGTACACAAAATTTTTCCATCCCTCTTTAATTTTGTATCTCTTTCAACCTGCGGAAACATGTCTCTCTTTAGGTGTGACGAGTACATGACACAGCTGGATGAGATGCAGAGGCAGCTGGCTGCAGCTGAGGATGAGAAGAAGACTCTGAACTCCCTCCTACGAATGGCAATCCAGCAGAAACTGGCACTCACCCAGCGCCTGGAGGATTTGGCCTTTGATCAAGAGCAGACCCACCGCACCCGCAGGGGCAGGTTGACCCGCGGGAAGATCATCACCCCCAAAGTAAGTCCCCCGGCATCGGCTTTGGCCTCCAACCTAACCCAAGGTTCCACTTTGGCCCCTGTCAGCCTCCCCCCTTCCGGCCTTACTAGTACTACATCAGTTCTTCCTGATGATTCCACTGCGCCCCTTAGTCCATCTGTGGTCAGTGCAGCTGCTGCAACTCTGGCCTCAGTTCTCACCTCCCCTTCGTCACACATGCCTCCTCGCAGTCCATCATCTTTAGGAGTTGCCTCATTGGCTGGTTCTCCAGCGATAGACAGTCCCCCATCTCTGGAGGCCCCCTCCTCTCCCTCGGCACGGACCCCACCCTCAACCCCTCTGAGGCTGGCTCAACACCAGTGGACCCTGGGGGTACGGACATTTGTAGCTGACTCTCAGAGTTTCAGTGTCAACATCTCCCCTGCTCTGCCCCGTGGCTCGGGCCTCTCCAGGCACTACACACCAGACTCTCATACATCTCCCTCATCGACCACCACCACCAGGCCCATCCAGCCAGGATCTGCTCCCTCCTCTCCCTACAGGTCTTCTGTTCTGGGGCTCAGACGCTCCACATGGAGCCCCTCACCCCGAACTCGACCATTGTCCACCCTGACGCGCTCCTCTGTGCTCTACACTCCTTCATCCTCCTCCCTATATTCCTCCTCCCCCTCCCCCTCCCCTTCGTCTTTCCACAGCAATTCCTCTACATACTACAGTTCCTCTCCTGCTTTTACCCCCTCTAGCTCTTACCTCACCTCTGGCACCTCCACTTCCTACAGTCACTCCACCCACTACACACCCCTTTACCCCAGATACTACAGTTCTTACCAGCCTCGAAACTGATCCCTTACTGTAAATCCTTTACCATAAGCCATTTGAAGGCTTTTCCACAAGGCTCCTGCCTAAAAGACCCTAAAAGTGCAACTAGCATCATCTTTCTCTTTTCACCTTGTCGCCTGAGAGAGTGGTGGCTCACAGAGAGGAGGGCAGAGTGGTTTCCTGTTTCCCAGTTACTGTTTTCCTGTGCCTAAGCTTTGGCCAATGGTTTCTGAATGTTCAGTGACTTTCCTCAGGGATTTGACATAAGGAGCACAAGCGGCCCCAACTTACTTTTATTCTGAGGCTGCCGATTGGTCCATAGGAGGATGTTAAGAGACTTTTTAATGAGAGTTTTTAGCATTTAGGTTCTTCAGGTTGCAACCACAAATGCATGGAGTGATTAAGACACAGACACTCAGACATTGACTGGACACATTGTGGACACTTTCATACATTCAAATGAGGGTTATGACATTAAATATCATCCTCTATACTCAATGTAATGTCCACTCTATTTTAAATGGTAGTGAGTCTCATACACTGTGTACACAAACACTGTAAACCACATGTCATAGGAATATCGCTGTTCAGTGCAAACATTGTCCTTTGTTGATGAGGTACTTGGATGCTTAAGGGTTCAGTATGACTCAAACATATTAAGTTGTGTGTGTTTATTTCTGTTTTGGATGGCCACACTCAAAGGGTGGGGCGAGATGAATGTTGTCCTAGAGAGGGACGAGAGAAGATTATCTCTCCTCAAAGGAATTTGTGGTATTGCATTTAGTGATGGTACCATGGTTTAGAAATTAGTGGGGTCCAGAATTTTTGTTTCTTTTAATAGTGCCTAAACACAACCAAAAGTATACACTACAGTCACACAAACTAATGATAACACTGTAATGAAATACATTCAAAGGGAACTGTTGGCAAAAAATACTTTTATGTCACCCTATCCATGCTACACACCTCTGTGAAGCTAGAAGGCTCAGCTAGAATCTCAAACCAACCATTTTTATCCATACCAAACACACATCAACACCAAGCATGTAAATGAGCTTATATCACAACAACATCTCTGTGAACAGTGCTGTTGTTGCCATCTAGATATAACTTATTTAGGGGTTGTACCAGAAGAGGTTTACATGGTTTCATTTTCAAAAATCACCATATTTTTTGTCATACTGCACATTGCTGCAGCTTCTCTTTTCACCCTGTGTGTTGAAGGCTTCGTTTTAGCTATGGAGTGATCTTTGTTGGGAGTTGCACATGCCAGTTCCTAGTTAAAGACTACTAGCCAATCAGAAGCAGAAAAGGGCGGGTCAGCGAGAAACCCGTAAACAGCTTCGATTCAGCTGTACATGTTGCCGACCAGCTTGGCAACATGGACTGGAGCGAGAGTTTCAGAGTGGTGAGTTATTAATCTGTAACAAAAGGATCTTTCATCCACAAAGTTATCAAGCTCTTTATATTTGGAATGTGGTTGTATAGACAGAAATTGTGTTTTTAAGAAAACTCCCAATACAAGTGAACATGTAAACAGTAAATTACATGACACGGACATTCACCTGCTATATTTTTTGAAAAATTGTGAAATAACTATCTTAGTTTCCTTTCATTAAATTTACACTTACAGTTGTATTCCAGATAGATAAGAAGATATAGATAATCTGCAGGATGATGGTGATATTGCTATTAAAATATAGATTTTATACCAGGCAGGATAAAAATATAATTTACTCTTTATTAGAAAAATAAATAGAATAAATAGGTTAATTTACTTAATCTATCCATTACATCAATGTATTCATATTCATATACACACTTAAGGTTAAGAATCAGGAATAACCCTTTCCTGATTCATTTTGGGTATGCTATTTTAGGTGTTTTTCCTGGAAATAGGTGGTAGTTTAATGTGGAGAGCGTCTCCCTATTTCACCCACCCAGAAATTCATAAAACATATTTATCTCATACCCTTTTCCAAGGTAAATAGTATTGCCAAAAACTGTCTGCCTGAGAGTGGTGCTCTCAGTTATTTTGCACACAACATTTCATTCCTTACAACAGCATGCTTCAGTTGTTTTCACACTGATCAGGGAACAGTTTTTCATCATTTCAAATGAGGGTTGCAACAGTGTTATCAGCTGTGTCCGCATGGTCCTAAAGCCTTCATTTAAGTGTTATCATTGGTTTTTATTTGAATTTTTCTATTGTAGGCTGTAGCAACATATACTTACAGAGGTCTGGACCTCAGTGACCTCATAGCTAGTTATGGCCATGGATGATAGTAGTATCATCCATGGCCACTGTTTGGAGAATGAAAAATGAGAGCCTGCAATTTTAAACCAATGCAAACCTCACCTATTGATGGGGCCAAGTTAACATGTTTGTTGGTTGGTTGGTTTTAACTATTACAAAATATTGATCGACGCAGCCCCCCAAATTCCAAGGTTGGAAGGAATTAAGCAGAGGGCTTTTGGGAGGCTTTCCAATAAGAACGTTGTTTGAAGCATACTGACTCTTGTTGTGTTTCAGGTTTGATTTCAATCTATAAACTCTCTCACACACACACTTGCATGATGAGACAGCTGTGGAGGAGGATTGATTGACTAATCAAATATACGCACTGTATATTTTCTGTCATGGTGGGCCTCACTTTTTAAAAATTAGAGGTGCAGGCTGTATGGAAGGTCATGCCAGGGAAAAACTTATGATGAAGGGAGTTGGAGAGCATTTAAACATGTCATGACAATACAACGCATGACTTCTCTAGTGAAGGATAAGATGAATCCCATAGTCTAGTCATTGTACATTGTAAGAGAGCAATATGACTTGGCGATCTGCTCACACATCGTTAAAACAACAATTAAGATATCGTAGATGATACATATCACACATACCTAATAGTGTGTAGGGAGGGATGTTTTCCAACTGCATCTGGTAGAATTGCTTTTGAGAAAGATGTAAATCCCCACTAGCAACCCTGGTTAGGATCTGAAAAATGAACATTTTGATATCTGAACCCTAGTGCAAATTGGCCTATTTCTCATTTATTGCAAATTTTTGGAACTTAAACTAGACTTCTGTCTCTCACTGTTACTATTAGCTTACTAAAGATGACCACTACAGAAGGACACTGATAATCTTTAAACTAATGATCCTCGGTTTAAAGATTTTGCTGTGTACTTTTTCAAAACAAATAAAAAGCCAGCAATTTGGTGAATACCTATATGCTAAAATTAAGGAATTTACTCAACAGGTGATTAAAAGTATAACAACGACTTCTCATCATTATATCAACACAAAGGTGTTTCACTGTATATTGTATATACTGTATATGTTTCACTGTATATTCAAGACAAATTTCACTCACCATCATGGCTGACTTACTTCAGAGTTATACTTGTAAATTCACTATGTAGCATCCCCTGCTGGCTTATTCACGGCACTGCACCAAACTCAGGGAACAAAACACCTCACTCAACCTGGAATGAGTCAACAACAAAATAAGAATGACTATCAACAGCATTTAGTTTAACTGATCTCCCAAATTAGATTAGAGTTCTAGTCAAGTTAAAGAAATTCTGAAATTCTAAGAAAAATGCTTGTTTTGCATCTTACCCAGAGTCACGAGAAGAATGATATCAATTTCATCTAGGTTGTCAGTACAGAGATTGGTCTGGGAATTGTGTAGCCTCTCTTACCATAAAACCTGGAAGCCGGGGGAAACTACTTGTTATGCTGCATTCATGCAATGTTGGCAAAATGGGAGGGAATGAAAAAAAACTCCTGTAATGCCAACTTTGGAAATTTATAGGGAAAGGAGATCCGAACAGTTATTCACTCAGTTTCATGGTTTTTCCATCTCTGTATAAGTACAGTCTACTGGAACTGTTTTCTTGTTTGTTAGCTAACATGCTGGTAATCAGTACATCCACACCCGCTGTACTGGATTCACAGATAATGTTGATCTTCTCATTTAACCTGAGCTGACAACCAACTAATTTTTATTTTTTTGGGCTAACATGATGATCCCACCAGTTCAGCACACATGGTACCGTATTCCCTGTGTCTGTGTGTGCCTTACAAACCCTATTGTACAGTTCCTACACAGTACAATAAATGCCTATCTGGGGAAAAAAAAACTTCTATAGCTGCACCTCAGAATAAAATGCTGGTTTTGTGTGCCTTTATTTTCGGCTTGGATTGTTTTGAGAGGGAGAATTACATCTTCCTTTTTCCCATTGCATTATTGGAACCTTTTATCATTACTTTTCTTCTTTCTATTTTCTGATAATCCAGACTATCATTGTTGTCTGTTGACTTTTGTCTAACTGTAAATGGAAGCAACCCCTTGACTAAAACACACAATTTTGGAATTACAGATCAGTAGTACATATGAGATCACATACTTTACTGCTGACCATTTTTGAAAAAAATGCTGTATGGTTGAAGATATTTGAATGTGTTTTCCTTCCTCTCAACTACTGGTTTCTATTTATTTCACACGGTGTGAAAATTAATATGCAGTTACATCCTACTTGCTAGTCCTGATTTAGAACCCTTATACTACATATAATGGTTCTGAACAGCTTCTCTTGAATCACTGAGATACAAGGGAACGCTCTTCAAGGCTGCAGCCTGCGGATGTGCTGTGATGTCATAGAGCAAGCTTGCAAACTGCATCCCTCTCCCACATCTAACAAATATCTGTTCAATGCAAGTCTAAAATGAAGTCCTTTCAACTGCTTTAACCTTTTTAACTTTCTAAATGAACTCCTGATATAAATATATTTTTAGCTGATACATGTTCACCTAAGTCACTGTCTTTGTTTGTCCCGTAGGTAGTGTACAGCTTACATGAGATCGATTGTTTATTTAAAAAAAAGATAAGTGGAACTTTATAAAAAGAACAATATTCATGGTTATATATTTATGTTCAATGTACAAAATATTGAGAATACTTTCTGTAATCTATAATTCACCTCTTCATCGAGTTTGTTAAGAAGTTGATCCATCTCGGGCGGAAAAGCTGCTCTCCTAGCCCGACAGAGGGAGTGTGCTGGTTAATGGCTGCTCTGGAATCTTCTATTAGGTTCTTGATGGTGATCTATGGAACTCTTCCCTGATCTGTTGAAAATAGCAAATTTCAATGTTCAAATAAAGTGAGTACAGTTTCAATACCATCCATCCTTAATCCAACCCTCAGAAGCACAACATAATATTTTTTGGCCAGCTGTTTATCTCAGAGCAGAACCAGCTTCACAACCTCCTTGCGCTTCAGGGAAAAAGTCAGCTCTATCTTTTGCTTTATGAGTTCAACATTCTTATTCCTCTTCTTAAACTCCTCAACCAGAGTCAGTTTTTTCTCCTCCAGTGTGTCATCAGTATGATATCTGGATGATCCCCTGATGGTTAATGGTTAATCTCCCCTCAAAGAAGGGCTCCATCATCATCGCTTCTTCTTTTCCGGTTACAGCCTGCCTGACATAACTTGGACCTATAATTACCAAGTTTGTATTATTTTATAGTGTTTGATCAGTAACATCAGTCTCTCTGTCACTCCCATCTGCAGTGAACAGAAAAAATATTTTTGCAGGTATTCCACAGCACTTTATCAAATCAGGAGATAACTCCACAGAGGCAGTTCTCTGTGTGCGTTCGAGGGCAGAGAACTCTCTGTGTAGACCTACAAAAAGTAAAGCCGATAGGTCTCCACCTATATAGAGCTCACTGCTCTCTATTGCCGTTATGGCTGACGAAGACTGCTGTGCGTGTAGAGAGGGAGGAAACGTCTCGGTTTACGTATATAACGTCTCGGGTTACGTATGTAACCCTAGTTCCCCGAGAAGGGGAACGAGACACTGCGTTGGTGACGACACTATGGGAACGCCTCTAGGCGTAGCAGGTCTGAACGTGAATGAAACTACTTCAATCCTATTGGCGTTACTAGAACGGTAGCGTGTGACGGCGTAACTAGAGGCGTATATAGGCACACCAGACACATTAGCTCTTAGCAGTGTGTCTCTTCCCCTTCTCGGGGAACAAGGGTTACATACGTAAACTGCGTTGGTGACGACACTATGGGAACAAGAATACCCACTATGCCACGCCTCCGCCTGCCCCCCCAGCGTGCAGTAACCTGTAGGCACGACTAAGA